AATTCACAGTTAACATCTATGAATTTTATCATTCATACTTAGCAACTGTAAATTTACAATTAGTAACTGTAAATTCGGAGTTAACATCTATGAATTTTGTAATTCACATCTAATAATTGTGAATGTACAGTTACAAAGTGTGAATGATCAAATTCATAATTGTTAACTGTGAATTTACACTTACTAACTACAAATTTTAGTTATATGCTGTGCATTGGTAAAATCGCAACTGTAGTGTTGATGTGAGAGTGTGAGAAGTGTTAGTTGACAGTGCCGTTATACCTGTCTAATGGATGAAGTAATTAATTTTTATTTTACTTTGGGATTTCGGCAGATGGAGATTCTGTCTTGTCTGTATCTTATTCACAACGAAATTATTAGTAAGCGTACATTACAAAGAAAACTAAAAGCAATGGGGTTGTACAGAAGAAAGAATGTTTCGGATGTCATCACAATTGCTACTTTTATCAAGAGAAACCTTGAAACTTATGGACAACTACATGGATATAGGTGGATGCACCTTAAGTGTCTGCAAAATGGACTTGTTGTGACGCAACAAATGGTAAGGATACTTTTACAAACTCTTGATCCAGAGGGTGTTGAAATACGCACTCGTCGAAGATTACGCCGCAGGCAATATAGAAATAAAGGACCGAACTTCTTATGGCACATGGATTGTTACGACAAGTTGAAACCATTTGGTATCTGCATAAGTGGGTGCATTGATGGTTTTTCGAGAAACATAATATGGTTAAGAGCGGGTAACAACAGCAATGACCCTAGAGTAATTGCGTCATACTACATAGATGTAGTTCTATCAATAGAAGGGTGCCCAAAAACAGTTAGGGCCGACTTAGGAACTGAGAATGGAGTTGTCGAACAATTACAACTGTATCTAAGAGAAAACAAATGGCATTCAGAGCCACTTTGTAGTTTACCTCCTTTCTTATATGGAACAAGTCCCGCAAATCAGCGAATTGAAGCATGGTGGGCTATCCTTAGAAAACAGTACAGTCAATTTTGGATCAATCTTTTTCACGAGCTAAAGGATAATGGACAGTTTTCTGGCTCTTATCTTGATAAGTCTTTAATACAGTTTTGTTTTTTGCGTCTAATCCAGGTTAGTAAAGATGACAATGGAAAACGTAATTTGTTAAATAAATTTTTATTTTTAGAAAGAACTTGATATTGTTGCCACTGAGTGGAATATGCATCGTATCTCCTCATCAAGAAATAGTGTTTCTCCTAGGGGGCGGCCTTTTGTAATGTATCACATGCCCGAAATATACCAATCGAGAGATTATTTATGCAAAGTCAGTATTGAACATATAAATCTCTGTCGAGAATTTTGCGCTGTTATCGATGAAAAGCCATGCGATTCAGACGTTTACGAACTTTCAGCAATTCTTATGGCGGAAAATCAGTTAGCATTGCCGGAGAATCCCTATGATGCGGTAGATTTATACATCATTTTGAGAGATATGCTGTTAAATGTGTTATAATGCTAATGTACTTCACTGTTTTATGCTACTTTTCTATCTTAGATTATGGCTAACTACACAACTCTTATACTGTAATACTTTGTTTCATTATTTGTGGCATGAAAAGTAAAAGTTTATAGTACGTGTAAAGTATTGTTATTTTTCGAACAGCTTTCTCTTTTAAGTCGACAATACTTCGGATTGGTCCGTGGCGTGGCAGTGCTCCATTCTTCCCGATCTTCGACCAACCTTTTCAGTGTCAAGTAGGAGGTACAGCCTATACAGTGACTTTATAAAGATAGTGGCGACAACTTATCATAATTCGCCATATTGGAGCGAAAAAATTGATTGTAAAATCAAAATACCTTGTCATGTCAAATTGTGACCGTAGAATAATAAGTCAGTCTCATTTAAGTAAAGATTCTCGTTCAAAACTAACGGCGCAGAAATGATCGTTCAAAGCTTTGCAAAACGACCTATGGGAAAACCACTGCCTCTCAAATTCAAAAAGATATATGGAAAAAGGTATAATAAGTATAAAATGTGGTGCAATATCCAAAATGTGCATATAAAAGTAACCACTTTGACATTTCAGTGTGTTCTATCACTTCTTGTCCCTTGTCGCGTGTTTCTCCTTCTGGTATAAAAAGTATTACTTTAGTCCTTTAAATGGAAGACAAAACACGTTGTTTTAGTCCATGGAGTACAAGAGATGAATATTCTTTGTGCTTCAGCAATCATCAATGTAAAACATCAAACCAATTCAAGCGTATTTATGATCACAATTGGGTATTATCAAAAGTTCTAAATCAAGCTAATTTTTGTTTTATTACATTAATAAACCATTTGTATTTGCATTTGTATTTGCATAATGACTTTTTAACTTGTCTGATATTTTATTGACAAAACAGATCCTACTGCCTACCTACCGACAATTTGAAGCAGTTCAACTTGAAGGTGATGTAAAGTAGGCATAGAGTTAATTCTGCTCATTGAAAAAACATTTATTTATTTTACAAAAAGAAAAAAATTGACATGTACGTAAGAAAAGCTAAACTTGACAATTCAACACTATTATACCACATCCATAACCCAAACATTGGCTTCCAAAAGATTGGTAAACTCGCTTCTAAAGGTTACGTAATTCTCATACGTTGTTGATAACGTTAAAAGGCATGTGCAGGTTTGAGCTGTGGGAGTCCTTGCCAGTCCATCTAATGCATTAAATGAGACGGTAATTGGATTTACGGGTAAATTTAAACCTGTACAAAATCGCATTAAAGAGGATCGAAGTCTATCGTCTCCTTCCCTCACGAACTTCTTTAAAAACCCTAAAACCTTGTTTTTGTCTTCATTCATTTCGCCATCTTCCACAATGAATTTTTTTATGCAGTTCTTTGCCGTGGGTTTAATATCATTATAAATGCTTTCTAAATTGGCAATGTTCAGACTAGTATTTATAAATTCTTGGATAAAACATTTCATAACGTAAGCAGGCTTCTGGATCATTTCTTTATGTGCGACGTCTCTGATTAACCGCTTTATATTCTCTTTTGTGGGAAGCCATTTTGCATCATAGTTCGAAAAAAAGTCTACGAGATCATCGTAGTCGACTTTATCAAAATCATCGATAGCAGCCTTCACCGTTTCAGCTTCAGATTGGCTGATAAACTGAAGAAAATTTAAGATGATTTCCTCATCGGCACAATTCTGTTGAAGGCAGCTTTTTATAAAAACAGGTGCCAATTTAATAGGAAAATAATTTTCTTTATTATACCCTTTTACCAATATCCTACCCACGGCGCGCCACTGCTCTTCTCTGTAATCATGTCTGAGGTATGGAACCTTTAGAAGTGTACCTACCGTACACTTGTCGTAAAAACTCTCCCAGAATTCAGACAACGAATCTCGGAACACTCCGCCTATGTCTTCAGCACGTTCAGTTTGGCCGTTTGGCAAAATCATTGTAATTTTGACATCATCGATGTTGAAAAAGGTTTGTTGGAAAGCTTCAATTAATTCTTCCAATACCTTTCCCCTATGAATAACCAAAATGGTTGTATCATTACTCTTAGGTTCTTCGTTATTGGAGTGGTTAGTAGTAACATCAAAATCCAATTGTGGAAACAAATCTTCATGCCTTAGGTCATCAATGCTACTTGCGTATGTGTAGTCAGTGGTATAAATCACATCAGAGTCCTGAAAACAAATAGTTATTTAGTATAGGCAGGTTGCCATTGCTTGCTATGAAGAGAATATGACATCTACTTACAATATTACTGCCATCAAAATTCGTGAGAAACTCTACCAGGCCAGATTCAAGTTTTCTATCGTTAGGGGTTGATGTATTCATTAAACGTGCAGACCGGCGTGGTGCTGAAGTTATCGAACAATTAGTATTTTCAATTGTAGATCCTGATTCAGCAATATCCGCCTGGTCCTGATCCTCTTTGCTTGTTATTGTTGATGGAATGACGTCATCTTCATCATTTCCTTTTCCACGTGTTTCTACACCCTCTTTATATATCGTGGCCAAATAGAATCGTAAAATTGATAAGGCTGAGATATCATACATTTCTTTCACCGTAAGGTCCGTGTCAAATTTATTACTTTTATAGTCGAGGAGTTCTACTTCAAAGATAGTCAGAGGACCTTTCGATGACTTTCCCAATGGAAAAAACAAATCTATTGCTCTTGTTAGTACTTCTTGACATTTGCTATTTTGATCAACCGATATTTTACGAGTGCCCCCTCCTGTTTTTGTTCTGACTTGTCGTAACCTACTATCTATCGGGCTCATACATAACCAACCCACTTCTACTAATCGTGTTGCTTTTTTACTACCTTTGCTAACATTGCTGTTAGCACTAGAATGGCTTCTATTGCTAGCATTTTTTGTTCCCATTTTCAACTTCAACCTCTCAATTAAGCTTTGCTTTCTGGAACTCCCTTTTCGCTGACAAAAGTTTTTTATTGCAATTCTATCTCCATATTTTGGTATGATGATTTTTAGATCATCATCGGGCATTACTACCAATGATGTGCAATCAATCTGTAAAGAATCCAAAAATGTTATGTGATCAAGATGAATAGATTAATTAAAATAAATATTTGCAAAATGTGTTACCCTCCTATCATTATTGTTCAATATTTACTATTATACATACAAGCAACAAGGAATAATTTATTAGGTATATGGGGGTATAATTTCAACCCACTGAAGGGCAACACTGCAACTTTTGAGTTCTAAGTATCTGTCGATTTTAAAAATAAAGAAACTAAAACCAAGTTAAAGTTGCACAACTAAGCGCATAATTAGAACATAACATCACCCCATATCCATATATACTGTGTCCAAGAAAACGAGCAGAGGATCTCCGAAACCATAAAAGAAATGGTAATTAAAGAGCTATTATCATACTTTAAAGATAACCAGAACCTTCTAATTACATCCGTACCCGCGCACAACGCCCTAATTGGTCGAAAATACCTATCTGACACTTGTTTCATTTTCCAGGAAATTTATTTGTAAAGTTGATGATTTCTCTGAAACTAAACGTTGTATAGAAAAGCTTTCAACGGTGTCTTGTAGAGCTCAAAAAGTGGCCACGAGAAAGTGTTTCTTATTTTTTGTACCTGTTCAAATATGTAACATCAAAAAATTAAAACCAAATCGGCACAAATTTCTGTTTTCTGGCATATCTTCGAAAGTAATCGGCATTTTCTGGTTTACTTTAAAGCGTGATAATAACTCTTTCATTGCGCAACTTTTCGCTAGTTTGACCAGATTCCGAGATTCCCATGATAGACATCATTATTCATTATCTTGGACACTGTATACTCCAAAGTGTTTGTAAAAAACTATAATAGCGCAAAGATTTTTGTTTACGACGCATTTGAGCGCATGATGAAAGGTACGCAAATTTAGGTGGGATTATAGTGAAAGTGATACCTATAGTCCGTATTAGCTGAGCAATGTAACATAAGGCATTAAATAGTAGTAAATCAAATGTCATTTATAGCGCGACCGATATAGTTTTATTGAATATGCCTATACTTAACTCACCTTTTCATTCTTCATATACTCCAACGTTTCGAAAGGAATGCCTCTGGATTTCATGAAGTCTTCTAACGACATATCCATATCGCTTTTTACCTTAAAAATAATAATTTAATAAATTTGTTAATTTTTAGCATCCGACACATAGGTATATTTGTATCACACAACACAAAGCTGTACACAATCTCATGATCAGAATATATATGCATACGGCATTCGGGATGTAAAGTAATAACTAAATAAGCGTGAACAGCATATTTTAATAAATACATAACATTGAATTTTCACTGTTTGCTACTACGATTTTTATTTAATTTAAATAGATGAAAATATTTCATTCAATACTTACTTCTAAATAATCTGCCATTTTCTACACAATGAAGCACAACTGCAGAACAGTATACATGCAATAAAAACCTTAATTTATAAATCACTTCTCTCACATCAACTACACTTCCAAGTTTACTAATCAACAGCCTATTACTAAAATTTCACAATTACTACATGGGAATTATAAAATTCTTTGATGTTAACTGTGAATTTACAGTTACTAATTGTAAATTTACAGTTGCTAAGTGTGAATTATAAAAGTCATAGATGTTAACTGTGAATTTACAGTTACTAATTGTAAATTTACAGTTGCTAAGTGTGAATTATAACATTCATAGATGTTAACTGTGAATTCACAATTAGTAAATGTGAATAAAGAAAATTTTTTGTCAGTGGCGCTTCTACGCTTTCGTAAGGTATACCTACTTCGTCAATATTTTGTTTGCTGAACTAGATTCCGTTCGTTTTGAATTCTACAGGAAATTAGAAAATGCCTAGTCCCGATAAATATGTGATAACTTTTTCTGTGAATTTTAAAGGAAAGTCTTTTTGAAATGGTTTATTTACCTACTGTTTAGAAATAGTCGCCACCTGTGTAGAAGTGTTAGCTTTGTATGCAAAATGCCACCTTAGTGATAGTGACGTCATACAAAAATGTCGAAAATTATACCGTTTGACTTTACGTCGTGCAATTCGTAATTTCGGATTTGTTGTGAGAATTTGGCAGCTAAGGTACAATTTTTCGAAGTATATAAATAGAAGTATTTTAATGCCTCTTTACTTTTACTGCAGGCGAGTAGGTACTTAACTGTGAGTATTTTTTATTTGGGCAAAAAACCGGTTTGTTTGTTGTTTATTTTCCATTTGTTTTCAAAATCATCCCCCTTTTGGATATCATTCAGATGCCTTTGCTTACAGGATAAATAGAAAAGCATGGAAGGTGACCAGTTTTCACTCTGCTGGAATAATTATAGTAACAACTTAAGGTCCGGATTTCATTCGCTTTTAAAAGATGAGGATTTAGTAGACGTTACCTTAGCTGCCGAAGGCCACTATCTCAAAGCCCACAAAGCTGTTTTATCAATATGCAGTCCCTATTTAAAAGAGCTATTCAGAGCAAATCCCGGCGACCACCCGATTGTCATTTTACCCGACGTTAATTACTCGGCTTTACAAAGTTTGCTAGAGTTTATGTATCAAGGCGAAGTTAGTGTTAGTCAAGATGAAATTCCCGCATTTATGAAAGTTGCTGAAACACTGAAGGTTAAAGGATTAACCGAAAATGAAAACAACAGAGACGATTCACCTACGGTAATTCATTGGTGGTACAATTAGCATTTTATAAATCTACTTTTAGAACACCAACGGAATCAATGACAGAAATAGCCCTTTTTTGTACGGGAATTTAGACACAAAAATAACATCAATTACGAAATCTCCAGTGAAAAAAATTATTAAGCCCATTGAAGCACTAAGATATACGGACAGTCCAAAAATGGGCAAGATATCGCCGTCGTTAAAATCTCCATCATCATCTTCTTCACCTCATCAACAACCTCTTAAGAAAATAAAACCTCAAATTCCCGTAGATATGTTAATCAATCCTAAAGAAGAACCCATGGATGAGATACCGGAAAATGAGGAGTACGATGAGAATTTAGATATGTCGGCTATGCTCGATACTACGATAAGTGAACCAGGACGATCTTCCGAAAGCTGGGTACCGGACTATAAATTTTCAACGGATACCTCAAGTCCAGGTATGTTAGATTTTCATTAAATATTCTATTCATGTGCGAAATGTTAGGGTTTGGAGTAATTCATTTTTAGAAATTGCAAAAATATTTCTTGAGCTATTAAATGAATGATGTTCCGTTTGGTTTAGATTAAAAGTCTTGATGTCTGTGTGTGATACAGTGGGACGTCAATAACCCGAACCATCAATCGAACCAAGCGTCAACCTACTGTTTATGCCCTCATGATGGGGGTAGGAATTTATTGGTGCAAAAAAATATTACACATTCCATTTGAAAAAATGTGCTGTGATTAGCACAGATGTCCATCAAGAATAGGTATGTGTATCAAATTTGGTTCCAATCGGTTTTGCCGGAAATGAGAAAACGTGTATTTCCCTAAAAAAATGGGGGGTAATGTTTTGTCCCAATGCAAATACTTACCTCCCTTACTAACGTGCGGGCGGTAAAAAAACAAACTTAAGTTCTGTATCCTAAAAACTAAGTAGGCCATGGAAAATATAACAAAAAGCCTTACTAAGAGACTATTTTTACATAACGTTTATTATTTATACTTTCTTGATATTCCCACAAATAAGTGAGTTATAACACAAAAAATGTCATAATGGAGTAAAGTTGTCACTTTAGCCTCGGAAGTACGAAACATTTTTTTTTGCATTTTTACACCTTTCCATGTTCGCGCAGGCTCTAGATCAAAATTGACATCGTCAATCTTGGCAGCTTTGAAAAGTAACTGTGGGAAGTGTAAATCGCATCTCTTTCAGTTCTCAAAGTACCCCCAAAAAACATTGAAAACAAACAATTTGGAACACCCTGTACGGCCATCCGAATGTGAATTCTACTATAGTGTCCATAGGTTTGAAAATTGTTTAAAAATGCCAGTGACTCGTGAGGGTATTTTAAACTACTTCTAGGGGAAGAGTCCTGGAATTTTTTTCAGTAGGTAGCCTATGCCTTGAAGGTGTGCCAGACGGCCATCAAATTTCGCTGTCTAAAAGAGGGGCCCCCCCACGAATTATTTCCTGAGATGCTGTTGCGTTTGAAAGTAAAACGTGCATAGCTTTTACATACGACAACCAATTGATCTCAGATTTTGCATACGTATGCCTTTAGTGGTGCTAAGTTAAACTTTAGGAAATGGGGGGGGGGGGGGTTTAACACATGTTCTACCCTTCATGGTATTCTATGAAAGGTCTCATCGAAATAAATTGGTTTGTACAAACTATAACTTTCCCGTGCGACTCTTTTTCGACATCAGTGAGCGATGGGGGGGGGGGGGTTAAAAAATCATTTTATCTCTCATTGTAAAGGTCTCAACGAAAGGAACCGTTTTCTACCAACTACTGCACTTCTTTCTGTCCTATCAAAGTACGCGTAGGAGGGGAAGGGGGAGGAGCAGTATATAGGTATAGTGCGTAAATTTTAACATACAAATCTTGTATGCTCAATTCTTAAAATACAACTCAAATACCTCTTAAGATATGCAACCAATCTTACTTACTTTCATTTGTCTCAAATGTTTTTTAATAAACGTCAATAGCTCAATGGGGTTTTCCGCGTTTTTTCAAAAACCTTGAAAATGAACTCCAAGCACATTAAAAAATTAGTGGTACTCATTTTACTTACAATCGATTCAGAGAAAGAAAACGTCGTTTTGACGGAAAAAAGCGTCGAATAATTATTGCATTTGTACCTGAGCGTGATAGCAGAAGTCATCGCGAACCTAATAAATTGTATATAAACGTCCCAACAGGAAATATACGAAAAAAGTTCGACGTGATACCGCGAATTTGACATCCCATTTGTATTGTTGTGAAGACGATTCTAATTAATTAAAGTGCATAATGTCGATTTACTTTCAGTCAGTTATCGACGAAAATCCATAGATATATATAATATTGTAATTGTAATTCAGAATATGATTTACTTCGAATCTCTGTTCTGGGCATATCTGTGCCCTTACAGCGCACACATTTTTCTCTATTTTCACTTCCACATATCCAACACCCTAATTTTCTCGTTGAAATCCGTAAGGTGCATACTGTATTAGGTACCTACACTATACCTTGCACTATACACACATAACTTGATGTTATACTTCCTATGAACCATAACAGATTTGCTTGTGGGCTTTGACTCCACTCAACCGAGTGGCATGGAAAAACTCACTTTTCGAGAAAAAGGCGGCGACCATTAACACTTCAACCTTTGGCAGACTATCTAACTGCCCCTTTACGAACCAGTCAGAACTCGGTTTATGGCAGATTGCCATAATAAGTCGAATCGAACTCCTATCAGTGTCATGCACTAATATAACTCCCGATCGGCAACCCGCGTAGTGACGTATGCGACGCTCGGCCAATATCGGCATGTCGTCGGTTGCATGACAAAATTTGAAAGTTTTACGATATTATATGTTGTTTATTGACATGCTGCAATTAGAAAAAAAAGTTTTGTATATGAGATGTTTAATTACAGGTTATAAACTTTACAGTAAGACACAAAAAAGTTACAATATTTTTTTTCAGGAAGACCCTATTATTTGTTGAATTAAGATTATTAATTTTATTCATAATAGAATTTATAGAAAAGAAGAAAAAATGTAAATGTTAATAATAATAATAAGCCGTTCCCGACTTAAAATTCTTAAACAGTAGTATTTACCAACCAATTCAAAATAATCGTAATTACAGATGTTGAAAAAAAATGATAACCTGGAAAATTGATCGTCGGTTCTCTTGCAGACTTCAAGACTTTTAGTGCAAAAGCCAAAAGTATTTGTTAAATCGGAGCTGGCTGAACTCTCGAGTATATTTGAAATCATCTAATCTTGTATTAAAATATTACTTCCAGTCCTGTGTATTGAATTGTTGTAAAATTGTTGAATAATGGGAACCTCAATAAAATAATACTTAACGTTTAAATACCCGTGCCCTTTATGTTATATGGCATAGAGAGATGTGCGCATCGCAGATTATTTTATTGAAGTTATCCACCCTGTAAGATGCCATATAATGATTTACTTTTATAGGTATTTAAATGTTAACGAATTATTTTATATGCAGGAACCCTACAGTGTGTACTTGGAAAGCGTGGCAACCCAAGGTTAATAGTGGATAGTCATACGTTCTACAAGAAAAGTACATATAAAGGAAAATCGTTCTGGTACTGTAAACATAATCGAACGCCATTCAAATGTCCGGCCGTTTGTTGGACATTAAACGGACATATTGTAAAGTGGCCAACGAATCACAGTCACGTTCCTATACCTGAACCGTTTAATCCAGATGAAGATATGGAAGTACCGATTGACAGGTTACAAGAAGTATTAATGCATTATGGGTGGTAGATACTTACCATCACACTAACAGTATTTTTTTTAATGTGGAATCTCACTTGTTTGCACGAGTACTGCCAATTTTTTATTTAAATTCTACAACGTAGACTAGATTATTTATTTGAATAATTAAAGAAATACGGTTCCTCTTTTTGTAGATATCGAATAGGAGAGATGTACTCGGTGTCGCATGATTTTGAATGTCATTTGTTTAAATTGACTTGCATCTCTGATCTCAGTATTACGTTTGTGTCAGTATACGGTATCGTAAAAGTCGTTAATTATAGCTTTCTGTAGGTTAGTGCAAAAACATGACAATAGTTTCTACTTTAAAAAACCGATCGTTTTGTTAGCAAAAGTGTGTAACACTCTGTATATATCTCCAAAGTTTCATTATGTTGACTGATTCTCTAAACTTAAGAAGAGATTTAGGAATGATTCCGCTATCCTTAAATTACTCATTGATCTCAAAAAGCATCTATTTACCCTAAAGGTATACTTTTAAATGTATAAGTACTTAACGTATAGGCCGAATTAGTTTTGATAATTAGTAAGTAGTTAAATAATTGCACCGATTCCATTCCAGCTTTTAATTTTATATGTGAATCGACTTTTGTCGTGATGAATTTGTGTTTAAATGCGACTTTTTCCTCATATTTGTAGAGCGTAGTTTACTGTAATCTAGAGACTAGGAATTAACTAAGTTAATCGATCTTAGCTTTGTACAATTCTCTTGTATTATTTTTGGAAATAAACTGATTGTCATTTTATAGGCTTATCGATACGCATTTGTGTAATTAAATACTTAAAAATGGGTTTGTCATAGGTGGATTACTCGTCCTGAAAAGTCATAAGGGACATCCGGTGTTAATTAGCGATGGCCACATGTACACTTTAAATCGAAAAAATGGACAAATTAGTACATGGTATTGTGTAAAACGCCTTAAGCTTAGCTGTGAAGGAGCCTTAACAACAGACGGATTACTAATTTTATCGCAAACAATACACAATCACGCACAGTTGCATGATGTTATAAAACGGTTACAAGCATTCAGTTGTACTTAGTAAAAGTGAGTATGTTTTTATTATTTATTAAATATGTGCAATATTTTACAAGTTTTACTTCCCTTTGTTACCTTTCTCATTTAATTTAGTATACAGGGTAAGTGTAGATTGTGATGTACCCAAATTCACCTCCTGAATTTGTTTGAAACATTGACGAGTTTCATTTAATAAGAAGGTGCAAATTGTTTATTTATGTTCGGTCATCCCATTAGAAGCTTGTTTTCATTTTGCTGCTCTATTTTTACTAATACTTCGTATTTTAATTACAATATTATTTAATTGTATTTCCTTAAAGCATTTCCCAGGTGTGATTAATATTTATAAACTGTATTTCTTTCAGCTTTTCTTATATTTACAGAGTGTCGCCAATCTGGGGGCGAGTTGTTGGTGAAAAATTTTGAAACTTTTTTTCTACACTCATTGAATTTATCCCATCGAATCTTGCAATTTTTATTTGAAACTTTTTTCGATAGCTCTCTTGGTTACTAAAATATTTGATCTTTTTAAAAATGGCGATTATCACTTTTTTCCAATTATTTACAAAACGATTTGTTTTTTTCAATATATCGCATCGGAATATCCATTAGCATCAAAAACTATGCAACTTCAGGAATGGCTTTCAGATACAGGAATAACGCGACAGTACGAATATAATGCTGAAAACTCGAAAATTGGCAAGATCTTGATTGATTTATAAAAAGCTTAAGGGCGCCCGAACAGCCGACAGTTAGTGAAGCTCCTTTTTGAGAAGCAAAATGCGCTAAAAACGGCCCCAAACCCAAGCACAAGTAATTTGAATGTTGAAGATTCATATATGACTACGACCACGTTTCAACAGAAAAGGTGTGATTCCAGGTAATCGTCATTTAATTTATTTTGGATTCATACAGTGGCGCGCAAGTGCACTTTCGAAATGGAGATTCCTGTGCTTTTTATTCTGATAGTTTTAGTTTAGTTTTTGGAAAGAAATAGGTACATCTCTCATATCCATGTGTTTTTCTACCGCCTTTTATTATAGATATTTACATAATATGTAGTCCTAGCACAATAAATACAACATTTACGCATGCAATTCATTCATCTTTGGCATGATTAATAACAGCTTCCGTTATCTCTTGTTTAGGTTGATCCTTGTCACCCCATCCCCATATTTCATGGCTACCGTCACCGGTTCTCATTACACGTTTCTTTATCATTTCTTCTGAGGCAGATTTTAGATCATAGGCCCAACCGATTTTAGCCATTAGGTCGATAAAAACCGATGTTAAGTTGGTGCTGAATTTTCCAAGCTCGGCAGTTCGATAATCCCATGGGAAGGCGTGATGGTAATTATGCCATCCTTCTCCTAACGTTAGTAGAGATATCGATAAATTTTCTGATGGGTTTAAGAATCTATAACAGTTTACGCTAACTTTACAACCAAAGGTGGTGTTGATACTCACTTGTCATAAGGTTTCGATCCCCATCTGTGTGCAACGGAATTGACTGCTAAGGTACTGTTCAATGTTAAAATGTATCTCAGAATATTAATAGTAAATGCGTTGGTGAAGGTTTCATTCCACAAATACATTGGCAAATAGGTTGGAAGAAGAAAGCATACGATCGGCATTATGTAGTAGTAATACTTCTTTTGGTAAAATAAAATCGGATCCGCATACAAATCGGAGAAGTCAATTCCTCTTCCTTTCGCTATTACATCGGGATGCTTTCGAAAAAACATCCATCCGATATGGGAAAAGAAAAAACCGCGTCTGGCATTGTACGGGTCACCGTCTGTTTCATTATATTTGTGATGTACACGATGATCTCTTGCCCAATCGATCACAGAGTTCTGAAAATATTAATCAAATTGTTGTAAACTGGACATCGAATTTTACAATTTTACTTGAAAAGCAATAGTTTGGAATGCCGTCAGTAGTAATCGGAGTTGCCATGTTGCCTTATATGCTCGATGTGACCATAAACGATGGACACCGGCTGTTATACCTAATATCCCCACTTCGTATAAGAACACAACTGTAATAAACAAACAAAATAAAATTACCTGTAAGTACGTAGTTGAGAAGAAAGCTAATTTTTTTATTAAAAACATATTTCCACCAAAAGGTGTCGTGACCTTTGAGCAATATCAGATCTATTTACCAACAAAATTGGTGACATTTTGGTATATATGTGTATGTACAGGCCAATTCAAATTCGAGGGCCACCATGGGGATCTCGGAAACTGTAAGAGATAGGTACCTAGGTACTTTAAATTTGGTCAAGTTGCGTATTTTGATACTTAACAAAATGCCGTTTAGAAACTGAAAAATTCTGGCTACTTTCGGAGATAAATGACATTATTATGAGATTATGACCACTTTTTTCGATCTACAAGATGCTAGTTTTAAATTTTAAGTCTGACGTTTCGTTTCCGGTTAACCATCATCAACTTTGTTTTTTCTTATAAGTTACATATTTTTACTTTTTGTGTCATTTGATAGAGCATTTTTTCTGACCGTGGAGTGGTCATAATGTGTCATTTATCTTGATATATCTTTTTAAATAACTACGGAAAAAAATAAAAAACGATTTTGCCTCGAATTTGAATCAGCCTGTATACTGGAACATAAAATCATTTTGTGATGTGGCGCATTTAGAAAGCGAAAGTCGAAGTCTACACGACGTCTGATAAATTTCCAAATATCGAATTCGATTTTCGCTGCGAAAATTGATATGTCGCACACATGCTTCAATTTACGATTTTGACGTAACTAGACGGTCTAACATTTTAAAACCTCCAATCCAATAGCAAAATGTTAATTAGGTTGGTAGTTCAACGTTGGAATTTTGACTAAAGGAAAAAACAATCTTAAAAAATGCACTCTGGAATAGGTAGGTATCTAATAAAATAACGCGCTTCTTATTGAACCATGAAATGTAAAAGAACTGCAGATTTTACGCACCACATGCTCGACACTATCCGTTTTAATTTAACGAAGTTCAATGCTCTCATTAAGTGATGTAATGGAGGTTTTACTTACCCAAAAGCGACGTCCAAATTTTAGCGGATGTAAATGCCAAATAAAGTCCCTGTACGGCGACAATGTGAAAATATGCGTAAATGATGATCATTGGCCAGGAACGTGTAGATTTCGCCGTTTTTTTGTACCTCTCGACGGGGATGTCTTCCATGGGAACATCTTCATCGGTTTCGAACAGAATACCGGTGGGTTTCAAATTATTTGGGGCCATCTCTATAGGAAAATAGATAAATTATGGCCCAGCTCTGTTTGAAAGCGGTAGGTATACGTACCTTTCAGGCACCGCGCCGCAGGTTAGAAACGTGGAGTGGGTGGACACCTAATAATGCCGGCGTCCGTCTGAGCAATATAATGCCATCAATTGATTTTAATTAAATCAGTATGGTTGCTACATCCGCAACTATATAGTGACAAGGCGGTCACAATAGAACTTTATACTTACCACGAATCATCACCTGATTTTACACGAGCCCCCACCAACCACATTCAAAAGATGCGCTCGCATACCGACTATAATTGCACGTTTAGTAAAAGTTGTTATTTTATTTTGCAAAATCTGCCGTTAATGCAGATATAAAGACAAAAGTCAATAGGTGAAGGCATAAAAGTGATTAAATCTTCAAACGCTGCGGAAAAATAATTAAAGTACTTATTAGAGTGCATGACAAGCCAAGTGTGATAAGACTTTAATCCATTTTGCTAGCCGGAATTTAAAAAAATGTAAAGCTGTACTTTGAAACCTTACAAAGATCTGATAGTCATAACTTCTCATAGAAACTCGAATCTACTTATGCAATTTCTCAAATAGGTACTCTTACTCTTTGTTAAGGCATACTGACTGAAATTTTATAAAATTCTATGCATGTACGTGTATTAGATTAACGGATAACGAAAACAAGATCAAAAGGGTAGCGGATCACTTACAAATGATTTGTAAAATTGGACCAAAAATGAATTTTGCGCAAAAAGAATTGCAAAGACTGTATTAGTGTCTAAACATTACTTAACTTTTTCTTGCTTAAATAGTTTCCCTTGCATATTGAAGATGTTGTTTCCTCTCATCAAAATTATTATATCATTGAAAGAAATGAAGGTACCTACTCATACTGCGTATTGTCATTTTGAACAAAATGGAGAGACAGGATCAAATAAATGTTCCTGCTAAAATGTAATCGTTTCACCGCAAAATTGTTCATTAGCGCAATCTATAGGTATAGAGAAGTTAATTACTTAAGTATTATTGCCTGACCACCAAGATTACGAAGGCAATAATAAACTTCTGTACCCTGGTATATATACTATTTTTTTCAAATCTTTGAATATAAATCTAAATGAACACTATTATATTGTTAAGAATGGGAACGGTTGGACAGAATTGTTTGTTTATTTATTTCATACTATCTAGTAATCGCCGCTTTCCCAGACTGATTTGAGTCTGGTAAATCGTATTTTATTTCATACTGTCCGGTAGATGTTCGATTACACTATCATTTTGAGTCCGGTAGGTGAGTTATTACAGCATCCGAGCCGGTAAGTGTCGCTAAGCAACACTTACCGGACTGTTATTTGTATACATCAAATTTGACATCTTCACACAATTAATTAAAAACCCCAACATAAATTTGGCTGTAATTCTTTATTTCAAACATTAACATTGATTGTAATGAAACAATTTGTATTGCCCTCAACACTACGCCTGGGTTATTACTGAATGTCGAGTTAGTAATGTTTGATTCCTTCTGCTGTAAAACTTCAATGAAATTTTCGCCGCCTTGTATCAGTTGTATCATACGGGCAATCTTAACTTTTCCTTCTACCGAGCCTTCGATGTATTTTTCTGCCGTCGATGAGCTTTTCCATGCTCCATGACGCTTTAACACCGAAACCCAGGCAAAAAAATCTCAATTCAAAAACTTACTGCGTCCAAAAAGTATGCCAACATGACTTTTTCCTCTACTTGTTTCGCCCCATGTTCGTTCCTCAATTGGCAAAACACTTAGTACTCTTTTTCATACCTTGCGCCCGACTTCTTAGGAACCAACTTTTCGGTTGCTTCATGAGATTTCGACAGGATTGTATCGGGAACATTGGAACATCCCACAACGTTTATAACGTCAATTTTTCAGTGAAAAAAATTCAATTGTCAACAAACTACAAACTATAGCAACGGCCGTTGTCACAGAAACAAGGTAATGCGATTTTTACAATATGATGAAATTTTGTAATCTTTGAAATGAAATAATGATACAAAACAGACTTACAGTATGAAATAAAATACGTTACGATATACGTCCGGTAGTACTTGTAACAGTACTCGTTTAAGACATTCTTGACTCGGCTCCTGACGTCGCCTCGTCCATAATGTCTAACTCGTACTGTTACAAGTAACCTACCGGACTTATAACGTAAATAACTATTACCAGACTGAAAATTTTTACCAGACTGGAAATTTTGCCTAGCAACCGCAACTGACATCCATCTAAACGTATGCATTGATATTTGTCAAACTACTGTCAGATCAAATAAATCAAGTAATCGACTTTTGCTTTTATTTTAATGTGTACCTACAACATTCTAATCAAAATGGTATTTTAATAGAAATAGAGCAGTATGAAATAAAATGTTTTACATTATTTGTATGTCAAATCAGTTTACGTTACTCGTTTCGAAATTCCTGCCTCAGCTACGCTTCGGCAGTAAACATCTCACTCGTTAACGTAAACCTTGATTTACCATACTCATATGTAAATAACTATAATTTAACATGTCAATCAAGTATACGTGGAAGTAAGTCAAACAGGCCGTATTATGTTCTTGATAGATATTTTCAAAGAGTAATTTCCTTCGAATTTTTTCAAAATGTGATAATTTTCAGTATGTATAATTTTTCTGGCAATGACGTAGGTATGGTGGCAATTATTCCTTTTAAAGGACACGCTAAAAAGTGTACTCTTTAATAATAATCTACCTAATTAAAACTAGTAGTTCCTATTACAAAAAGATGCCCCCCTTGACCACACAAAATTCAGCCGCTGGCCACAAATTTTAAGTACGTTGTTCATTTGGTAGCAAACTTTTTATAATTATGGATACCACAAAATCTTTGCAAGAACTGTGCACACTTGAAAACATATTCATTCATCAGTATTTCACACACAACAGAGTATTTTACCAGCGTAACTTCGAATTGCTGTGTGCTAGAATCTAAATGCATTAAAAAACTTTGAAATAGCAAGGATGTATTGTGTATAAAAGGGACTGAGCTTTAACTTCAGATTATTATAATAATAATTAATAATGTTTATTCAATAATGAAAGATACAAAGTCTTTTTTATCACGTCCATGCAAAACAATATAGAAACAAAAGGCTTCCTAGAACAGTTTTAGCTCTAAATGTTCAAATTCTGGAACAGAATAAAAAGTAGGTTTCTTTAACATTTCTTTTTAATGTATTACAAGGAAGAGCTCTTATCTTATGTGTTCCGACACCTTATTGTTAAGTTTAACAGCTGAAAACCATAATTTATATGGGAATTTACAAGTCTGGTTCCACACTTATGAATTTGAGTATACTTGTGTAATCCACCTATCAACATTTCTGCGCGCAAAAAGTAAAGTTACGAGAATGTAACAACTAGACATTGTTAGTATATTATTCTATTCTAACAAACAAAGGTTTGCATCAGTGCTCCAGTGGATTTGCTTGATTTAAGATTCTTAAAACTTTTTTTAGAAGAATAAAGATCTTGTTGGCCTGAAGAACAATTGCCACATATTATTATGCAGTAAGACATGAAAAAACCAAAATACAAAGATTTTAAAAATATTATATGTCTAATACTACACACTACGCTACAACAAAAAATAAATTACTACAGGGGATCCAGTAAACCGGCACGATTTTGAGCAGTTGAGTTATTTACAAAAAAACGGATAATTGTTTTAACATGAATCGTAAGTACATGAGTGGAAAATGAATGTTATTGCTGAGACCAAGTTCCTGCCACCAAGATGTTATACTTAAAAGGGTGGGGTGCTAGAAACTGCCTGCAAACTGCAACTGTTGCAGTCCTGTTAACAGTAAAAGCACTTTCGACGTAAAGAATGGAAAGCTATATCAGTACCAGATTTTCAGCAAAGCAATGTTGTCAAGTTACGAATACGACCCAATATATGCGAATTTAGCGAATTGTCATTTCTATATACGGTAAAAAACTACTTTTAAACATATACGACGTATACCCCCCAATACAGCACTGATTTAGTCTACTTTTTAGTTTCTCTATTGTGTATGAGGAATTATAAGCTATGAATGAGTAATAAAAGGCAACGCTTTCCTTGAGACTATAAAATTTCAATTCAAAGTTAGCTTTCAAAATAAATCATAAGGAAACAAAACCACAATAAGACATAAAAAATATATCGCAGGCAAAGTTAAATGACGAAACAGGCTGTTTCTTTTGTATTTCCGCCCTTAGCCTTCTCTAATTTTGCACACTTACTACCAATGATGGTCCCTCGAAAAACTACAAGTTCTTCGGTAATTAAACTTGTGTCAATTGAGAACTTAGCTTGTAAACGGTGAACTACCAATCGTTAAACAGTTTGAGGTGTAGCATGAAAAAATAAAAACAACAGTTTCTCTGTACTGTATTTCAAAAAATAATACTATGTGATCATAAAAATGAGTTACTGTCGAGTCACCTTTGGAATTTTTGTTTACATGGGAAATTGTACTGAACATGAATTCCCGAAGGCGACTCGACAGTAACTCATTTTTGACCACCCGTTATATTAAGACTATATAATTAGTAGATTAAGAAAATACTTAATAAGTTGTGTGGGTCAACTTCCAATAGATGAACTAAGGCCACACTATTCTGACTAGAATAATTACTGAATCCAAGATATAATACATTTCATTAATAATCGAAGATAAAATACATGTGCTCGTTCATTACAATCAGTCTTTGATTCGTTGTTTTCTACAGTCAATTTGATAAATTATGAGTGTGATACCTTTCACTGAAGGGAGGTAAGTTCATTGCAATTCTCATTATCAACCATCAAAGGGCTTGATTCTTCAGCTTCAACCCCCACCATATTATTATCACTGTTACTATCTGTTTGCTTACGAAATTTCATTTTTTTGTTTAACGCGGCGACACCTTAAATAACTCAATTACAGAAAATCCTGTTAATCGCTTACAATACATTTTAAAGTTTGAAACAATATACAGGCTTTCTTTTTAGGTTTACGAAGGGCCATCACTCTATAACGGCTTTATTTACAAAAGTAATTACAGCTATCTACATACTTGTCCTGTCTCTCTTGTATTTCTCGTCGTATTATCTTTAAATTATAAGCGATGTCATCACGTGGCAAAAACAAGGCACACTCGGTAGTCGTGCCTAAGCACTCAGGCACGTTATTGGGATTGCTTCGGTGATACCACTGATGGAGAATAAGGCGATACAATGGCTGTAAGTGTGTTATTGTTGTACCTATTTGTTTATAGTTTTTAAATTTTACTTACGCTCGTGTAGACCTCGCAAGCGAGCCATCCCCATAAGGACACGTTCAAACCGATCATTATAAAAGAAGACGAATTGTTTAAAAATCCTTGAGCTAATGGAAGAAGAAAATTCAATGGAATAATCCATAAGTATAAAACAGAGCTAAAAGGAACCTTTTACATCACCAACTAAGAAATTCATTTACATACAAAATAGACAGAAGCATAAGAAGGATGCTTTGCATGAGCAGTTTAGTAGTACCCTCAGGTTTTATGATGCACAATAGACAACGTGTCAATTCTGTAATGACATAGACGATGCTGAATGTATTGGTGAATAAGACAACCAGTTCAATATATCTGAAAGTAAATATTTAGCGCAAATGTAATGTTAATAATACATTGCAGTACCGAAGGTAGTATGTAAAGGCCGTAAAACCTGTTAAAAAGATATAACTAAATGAGGAAAATGAGCATTGACACATTTCCCAAATGAAACTACTTGCATAAAAGGCAGTCAATAATGCGTAACCAATAATCAAGTGATCCGAAATGGGTTCAGTTAAGTCCAAAATATAAAATGTATATTTATTTGGAAACGCAATGTTGTTTTTCCACGATGTTGCACTACAATATAGAAAACCGCAAGCGTAAAAACCAAAATACCACAATGATCTTCGCAGACGAATTCGTATATACTCTTTAAACCTCATTCTACGTAGTAATGCCTGGAAAAGAAATGTGACTTCGGTTCTTCGTCAACGACAAACATACGTTAACTAAGACATCGAACAGGTAGTGAATTATGTAAAAAATTAGAATTAGCCAGGATATAGCATTATATAATGTGTTATTGAATCTTCCGCTGTACTGCTCCATTTTAATTAAAAGGTGTAAACGATTATTACTGTTTCGAAAAATTACACGGTTAGATTAACTAAACAGTATATTTTTGCAATTCAAGGAATTGAGCATTTTTTTAGTAGATTGGTTTATTTATAAAAAAGTAACCCCATCTCGCACTGGCACAAGTAATGGTCATACGAACTACACAACAAGCTAACCGGATTTATTAGAACTACGAACACATTTTCTGAACTACCGCATTTGAACTATTGCATTATAGGTAAATTCCAATATAAAGAAAATAACTGTTTATTGTTTTACTGTTTTGTGTGCAGGTGAGTACCTACTCCAAATCTATCGGAAATACTTATAAATAGACATTAGTGTTCTTCATATAGGTAGTTTTTAAGCACCTTTCGGAGATAGTTTAGTCCTTAAAAAGTACTAATGTGATTACGGCAACTCACCTTGTATTAAAAGGAATAACAGACCTTATCCTGTACTATCTGAGTAAAGCTCACTGGTTCCTAGTAAAAGCTCTGGAAAATATAAAGAAGTAAAAGGTCCTAGAGAGTTTAAGTTTAGGTATTGAGGAGAGTAAGGTGTGATTCACGCATTGAAAAAATCAAACAATGTTCTCTCGCCGTTTTGAAGGAAAACTTTGACACACCTTGTATGTATGTACTTATGACTTGATAGTCAGGAAGTTCAAATCAATAAAACAACCTTGGTTCAAATCACTGTATAAAATGAAATGTGTTTCATGTCAATGTGTAAAAAGGGCAATGATAGAATTTTTGTAGTTGGGCGCTTTTGTAAAATTCATTTGGTAAGATTGGTTTGCGTCACTTCCGGTTTTTAGTTGTAATTTTGTTATGTGCGGTTGGTAGGGCTTGGTTTTATCTTTTAGATTACATGTCAGATCGTGTATTGTAATATGGCGACTAATAATTACTTTGGCTTTACACACGGTGGAACACAGTACAGGTGAGTTTTTTTTAATTATTCGTCGCACTCTAATTATATTGGATCGGTTTCTTAACAATATTCGAAAATTTCGTTGTATGTTTAGTATTAATAAGTGCGTCGCATAAACGGAAACCGGCGACCTTGGCAAATGGCGCCGGCTTTGTGAGCGATCAATAACTCGCCCGGTCAACTAGGCGTTGTATCTTTTTTCTTTGTGGCATTTTGCGATTTATTTGCGTAACTTCGTATTTGTGAAACGATTATCAAAGAGTTTTTTGTGTTCTTTTTCGTAATTCAACGTTTAGAACTCGTTTTCATTATCAGCGCGGCGGCGGCAACGGGAGCGGCTTATCAAGCGGGTCAAGCCGGATACGCAGTAACTGCTCCAGCTACAGCAGCTGCGGCTACATACGGTACTCAGCGTCCTGCGGGATACGATACTGCCTACCAAGCAGCCGCCACCCCTGGTACTTACGCAGCAGTAGGTACCGGTGCAGCACCAGCGTATGAGTACGGTTACGGACGTGCTGCAGCAACTACCGGATACGACGCAAGTAAGACTTATTATCAACAAGCGGCTACAGGACAAACGGCAACAGCGGCCGCAACGTATACTGCCGGCTACGATCAGACCGGTGCCGCCAAACCTGCTGCGTATGCTGCTACTTACACTCAGCGAGCTGCCACTACAGTTCAACCTCAAACACAAGTGGTAAGTGTAATGATGGATTACTTGTTTTTTAAATACAGTATAAATAGGATTTCTCGGGGATTTTTTCTTTTACATTCCTTGTATACCTTGAGCTCTATTTATTTATACATTTCTATTTTTGGCAGCCTCACCTGTTTAGTGATTTTTTTATAATTAATTTCCGCGGTTGCACAATATGCAAAGGTATGTACCTAATCTGCAGTTTAGAGTAAGTATTCATTGGAGAACATATCAATGGGAAGGAACTCTTAACCTAATTTCCCTAATGTGTTCACTTTGTCTATTTATGTACACACTATTTCGTTTGAATTGTTTTCAATTGTACCACTGGTTTAACTACGATGGTTTTTGGAAACAGTTGTGCCAGTAATCGTATCTATAGCAAAATCTATCATCCTGGTTGAACAGGTCGAATTATCATAAAGCCCTATTGAGGATTCTCTATATAGAGAGATGTAAGATATTATGGATAAGGTGATGGTTAAACAGCGAACTAAAGATTTAATATTTTCTATGGCAATTGTTTTCAGGTTTTGATCCCATCCTCAAATATGTATTATCTATCTATGGTTTTTATGAACCACAGTGTATAATGCGTTCTTAACTCTGAAGGGTTTTTTTCCCCTCAGGGGTTTAGGTACTTTTGCAGCATGTGTTTAATTTGATTGAATAGGTGACATTTATTTAATTTAGCAAAACTGCAGGTTGACAATGGCCTGTGTTTTTCGTAAAAAGAGATTACAGCAAGTATTTGTGCAACATTTTTAAGGCAAAATAAATAATTTAATAATATATAACAATGTTGTCTCGTATAATTTTGTAGACTGCTGCAGCAAAGCCTGCACAATATACCGGCACTTACCAAGCGAATGCAACAGGATACCAAGCAACGTATGCTCAACCTGCTGTTCAGACTACAGTTGCTGCTCAACCTGTAACTCAAGCTAAACGTACGGATGTATGCAAATGAGAATGTGGCATATAATTTTTCTTCTTTTTTTAGAAGCAAATAACACTACCTACTCCGGATACGACGCTGCACTATATTCAGCAGCTACCATGTATGTAGCACAGCAAACGACAAATGCTGCCCAACAGAAGACCAACACTTGGCAAGGGTACAAAAAAGGATTGGGAAATAAAAACATGCGAACCAAAGCTCCTCCAAAACCGCAGCAGCTACATTATTGTGATGTTTGCAAAATTAGGTATGTTATTGTCGAATACAGTAACTTCCCAGCTGGGTCTAGGGATGCACATGCTTAACTATGATGAAGGCGGACCGCAGGGCCTTCTCATATGGAATCAGTATTAAGATATTTACAATTTTAGGGGGAATAAAATTTATTTTGAATATAATTTAAGGTACAATGATTACCTTGAAATGGTAGTTGCACAAAATCGTGGGCATGTAAAAACGACATGATATTTTCTCAGTACATAATTACTTTGATTTAGATAACAAAATATTTTGTTCAGGTGTTCTGTAGGCCAGCATTATGCATGTGAAAAATATGCTTTAACCACTTAAGCGAGTTGACACTTTTATAACTTGCTTTTATGCAACAGTTGAATATATTTCTTTATGTCTTACTAACATATAGCACATTTTATATTTCTGATACGCGTGTTTATGCCCTAGAGCATGACGGGGAAATACCAGCGGCCCATGACATGGTTCGATCCAACCCGTGATTTATACCAGTCATCTATACCCTTAAAAAAATATTCATGAACGGGTTCTTTGAGAAACGTCTGGAGAGCGTTTTGCGAATTTCTTCCACGCGCTATAATTAATGAACAGTCGAATTTTCATTTGTCATACTAACCCAAGACATCGAAACAAAATTTTTTGTCAAGCTGATTTTTTGTTATGTATAAAAAATCCTCTTTGGCTCGCTTAAATGCTGTAATTATTTCATATGGTAGAGCATTAAGTATCACCATAGTAACTTATTTATACTTAATGACAAAACAAACAAATATTTGCAGGTCATTGAAGATTAGAAACGTCAATTATTAAATGTCAATTCCTACTAACTCAACAAGATTGGCCTTTATTTCGAATAGTTTCTGGAACTTCTTCCTCATTCATAATGAATTCAATTATTTAAAATTACGTGCGACGTTTGGATGGTTTCAATCACATTAACAAATTCGGCCTTATATCATGAATGTACCTCTTATATTCCAGTTAAAATATGCAATATTGATACTGTGGAACACATGCTAACTTTTGTTTAGAATAGAATAGCACATTAACAGAAGTCAAAATTAAGAAAGAATTAATTGCTACATATTCTCAAAATTAAAGTTCTCAAATTCTGATAAATTATAAGATGCCGGTTCCAACAAAAAAGTTTAATTTTAGTTAATAACACGAGATGTTGTCATCCCCAATCAATTCCGAATTGATCGGGGACGACAACATCTTAATTTGTACTTCATTCCAAGATGATGGTAGTCATTGTTTTTTATAACTATACAATGGATCAAGTATCTTGGTTCAGGTTTAATTGGGCATTTACTTGCGCCAACAATAATAGAAATGGGAAGCATGCTGCATGCTCATGGATTAAGAGAGTTGAGTTATAGAACAGCTTTCACTGAATCTCCGCTCTCTTCAAATTAAATTTAATAACACAAATAAATTTTTGCAGCTGTGCTGGCCCCCAGACATATCGTGAGCATTTAGAAGGCCAGAAGCATAAAAAACGTGAAGCGGCCACTAAGATGGCGGCATCTGTTAACGTTACAAGTCAAAATAGATCTGGAAACTCTTTACGTTGTCAGCTTTGCGATGTCACATGCACAGGTAACATTTGGTACACTTCTGCAAGGAGAATTACAATATGCCACTTGACGTGATATTGTTCAGACACCTTGCTATAGAATAGAATTGCCAAGTAATTTTATTCGTATATCTCATTCGAATACTTTTCTGGGGATTCTACAGTCAACACTTTTCTTCTTATGTGGTGATCAATAATCGCAATGCTTATAGGTAATGATGCATATGCGGCTCATATTCGTGGTGCTAAACATCAAAAGGTTGTATTATTGCACACTAAACTAGGAAAACCAATTCCGCCTCAAGAACCTGAAGTGATCGGAGGCGCTCGTAAATCTATAAGCTCAGCTCCTAAGATAAATTTTGTACAAGGGGGTGGTTTGGGTATTAGTACCGGTAATGGTGAAAGTAAAGAAGATGATATTATAGATGACAATCCGGAACCAGATATCCAACCTGTTGGACAAGATTATATCGAAGAAATAAAAAGTGACGATGGAAAGGTATGTAGCACAAAACTTATAAATCGTCCCTTGTAAATTACTAAAAAGGTTATCAAGCATTCTGTCTCCGAATTTTTGAGGAATCCAAAATGAGTTCTAAAACGATTTCTGAATGACTACAAAAAAACCTATTAAAACGTTTCTGATAGATTTCTAGTTAAATTTCTTGGAATGTTTGCAAATTAGATTCTACCAACTTTTACAAGTTTAGTAAATATACCTATTCTCATTAAGTAAGAGTTGCACGATTTTAAAAGAATTTTTTCATGAACATTTCGGTGAAGGTTTCCATGTCCCCAAAGAATAATTCTAAAAAAATTGTTATGCAAAGGGAGCAGTGATAAGCATTGGACAGTTGCCAACGCTTGACAATATAGTTTTTTTTATAAATATATTGTTTTCTTGAAAGGCATATATTAATATCGGGGTTTTTCACGGAACAACTGTTTGATCAAGGTTTTTCTGTAGCCCGATTCTCTGAACAGTTTTAAAATACTATTATCAATGGGCATTTACCTACATTTAAACATTTTTTTAGGTGATTAGTTTTAATTGCAAATTGTGCGAATGTCGTTTTAATGATCCAAATGCGAAAGAAATGCACATGAAGGGACGTCGGCATCGTTTACAATACAAAAAGAAGGTGAATCCCGATTTAGTGGTTGATGTTAAACCTTCCCTGCGACAAAGAAAAATTCAAGAGGAAAAAATGCGCCGTGCTGTAAGTATACTATTGAAGGGGGTTCAGATTCGACTCTAGTTCCTCTTGGTAAACAAAGATGTCATTTTCCAAGATTTAATCGAGTCGTATAATATAGAGAGTTACTTCACACCTAATTGCGGCTGCTCCTGAGGGAAATTTAAGATTACCATAGGATGTGCAATTTTATATTTTCACCATGGGCACTTTAGTCATTAGGATTTTGCACACTCGTACAACTTAATTTCCCAATAATAATAATCTTTATTGTTGTTAAGACAACATACATACAATGCCGGTGTAACAAATGAAGTTTTTGTAGGCAATGAGAGAGGAATACTGGCAAAGACGCCACTTGGCAGCAGAGGATGAAGAGGAACGTATGTATTGGGAAGAAAGACGTCGATACGAAGAAGACTACATGGAATGGTGTAGAAGAGGAAATCTAGGACCTTTCCCACGCCCGCGTCCTCCTTTCTCAGGAAGTGTTCCTCCTCCAGTAAGTATTACACCTAAAATTGTCACTATTTCTAACTATTTATATCAAATATAAAACATCATTTATAAAAATTACAATCGTCAAATCAGACATACAATTGAATATAGAAGTACCTCTCTGCATTAAAAAATATGAATCAAAACAAAAATTAGATAATTAACATTCAGTTTAGTAAACTTTCTTTTTTATTTGGAACTTTTTGATTGTACAAATTGTTGTTAAGTTTTAATCTCACTAACCTGATGTTCATTTGTTTTTTATTTCAATCATTGATTGTAACCATAGGAAATTGCTCCATTTAATTTCACTAACTCACCGCTAATAGCCTTAAGAGCTAGTGGTACATTTTCTTAAATAGTTTTATTGTTGAAATTTGGATATAGAAGAGGGTTAAAATTTTGAAAATTCAAACAGTTTTAATATTAATGAACCTTTGTTATGCATTCGTTTTTAAATTACATTTGTTGGTTTGACTAACCGACAATCCTCTTCGTACGTGTTGCCAGTGCAACTTCTTTTTTAGTGCACTTCCACTTTCAAAAAATAAAAGGTACACTTTTGCTCTCTGTCTGAACCACAAAGGCTCCGGAACTACACCACTTACAGACTTGGTATTGGTGTTGTTCAATCAGAAATTAAAAATTATTTCATGTTTGTATTCTCGTTAAGGCATGAAATGTTCATAATGACTATTAAAATCGAAAACACAAATTTGAAAGTGCACTCTTTGCCTCTTGCTCACAAGCATCTTAACGAATTTTTTTCTGTTTGTCCCTTCGTTCATTCTTTTTGAATTTGTATCTGTAAAGATTTCTTTAAATTCAGTATTCTGTGCTTTTTAAATAGCGGAAGCTCTTTGTGCTCTTTATCTAAAAGTTTGCCTGCTTTCTCCAGTATTTTCTATACCTCCATATACATATGTTAGTAGTAAGTAGATATTAATTACATTTCATTACAATTTCATAACCATAAAAAATCAGCCAAGTTTGAAAACTGACCAACTAAAAAAAATATACTTCTTTTTGTCTTCCTTCTCCAACAGTCCAACTGGACATTGCAAATGAGCTGTAATGTAATTCGAATTAACCGAAATTTATATTTATTGTTGCTATATACTACCACTTCTCTTTTTATAACGTACAAACTAAACGTATAAGACCACTATGACTACCAATAACTGATATAAGACCGAAAAGGAATAGTCCTGTTAAGATTTTTTTATTGACCATAAGATTGAGGACCTGAGATTAGGGATGGGCGATAACTGTTTTCACCTATCGATAAGTATCGGGTACTTACCTATCGATATATTTTACTTATCGATATGCCGATAATTATCGAAATATCGATATGTCGATAGTTATCGATATGTCGATAGTTATCGATATGTCGATAGTTATCGATATATCGATAGTTATCGATATATCGATGATTACTATCGATATCGATAGTTATCGATATATCGATATATCGTCGATAGTTATCGATATATCGATAGATTATCGATATATCGATATGTCGATAGTTATCGCTAGGGATGGGCGATAACTGTTTTCACCTATCGATATAAGTATCGGGTACTTACCTATCGATATATTTTACTTATCGATATGTCGATAATTATCGAAATATCGATGGTTATAGATACATCGATAACTATCGAAAGATCGATAACTACCGCTATATCGATAAGTATCGGTATATCGATAGTTCTCGTTATGGCGATAGTTTTTAATATATAGGTATCGATATAATATTACCGATAATTTTTTTGAAAGCGTGTCTAAAAACTGCATGAGTTTACTTTTATATTTTGGCGAAAGAGCCCGACAAGACAAGAGGGCTCTTTTAACAAAACATGAAAATAACCGAATGCAGTTCTTGCAACTTTAATGGAGTTACCATATTAACTGTGCAATTATCGCAGGGCTCTTTAGCATTTCTGTTTTTTTGTGACTGGTCCTCTGTAACCATCAGTCAGATACCGATACATAGGCCATGATTACACCCTTTGATTGTCTTCTTTATTTTATCTAAAGAGTAGCCATTTTGATGCAACATTTTGTTCAAGTTTTTGAAGTGCTTCTTTTTTTTAGCAATCGTCAGTAAGACGAAAAGATCTATTTTCTAAAGATTTTATTACTGCGTTTATTTGGCATGGATGATGATGTGACGTAGCGCTTCTCTTGAGAAAGGGAGCAAAGTTAAGTTTCCGAAACGTCGAGCAACTAAAAATAGTAAATTTACACGAGAGTAAACCCGAAAATGGATTTTATTAATAAAAATAGTAGCGCTCGTTGAAATCTCAACAATAACATAATTTTATCGTACAGTTATCGACATATCGATATATCAATAGTTATCGACATATCGATATATCGATAGTTATCGACATATCGATATATCGATAGTTATTATCGATATATCGATAGTTATCGGCATATCGATATATCAATAGTTATCGACATATCGATATATCAATAGTTATCGACATATCGATATATCGATAGTTATCGACATATCGATATATCGATAGCTATCGATATATCGATAGTTATCGACATATCGATATATCAATAGTTATCGACATATCGATACTTATCGATAAGTATCGATATATCGATAGTTATCGATCTATCGATATATCGATATATCGATTTTTTTAGCTCTACCTATTGTTATTCGATATATCGATAACTATCGATACCTATCGATATATCGAAAAAAATTCCCATGCCTACCTGAGATTGCTTTTCAGTTCCCAAGAAGTTAAAGTTGGGATATATTCAATTTGAGAATGAAACTGACAACGGAAGAGGAACTCTTATAGTAGTAATAAAAACATCTCTGTATGGTCATTTTTATATGTATATTACACCACATAATAGTAGCACACAACACAAGCGATCATTTGGATTGTTCAAAACCACTCCCTCCCCTACTGACATACTAACAAACACAGTAGATCTGTCGTCAGGCTAGCTACTGTATCTAGTACATAAAATAAAGCAAGGTTCATAAAAAATAAAAACTGTTTAAATTTTCAAAATCTTCGACCACCCACCATCGTTGCGCCATCTGCAAAATTGCTGCCAGACGCTCGGATATAACTACATTTATATTCAAATAATAACAAACTACTGTTTCTGTAGTTTTTCCAGGGACCTCCAGCTAGACGTGTTGAATCCAGTGATGATAGGCACGTAATGGCGCGCCATTCGGAGATATATCCGAAGGAAGAAGAATTACAGGCAATTCAGAGGATCGTGTCTCACACCGAAAGGGCACTGAAAATTGTGTCCGATCAGCTAGCAGAATCAAAACCCAAAGAGGCCATTCCTACTACACCAGTAAGCGTATCCACAGCTGCACCTGCAACTCCCACGTCCACTACTCCGCAAATCAAACAGGAGAAACCGGAAGGTGAAATTAAAACTCCAGGAAATGGTGTGGAACAGAAAGAAGATGGCAGAGACAATCAATTGTAAGTTGCCCATTACGGGAATAAAGTAGTATAATAGATTTTTGTTTTCAGGTTTTCATTCCAACAAGATCGTGACGCGAATCGTATTCTAAAGGGCGTTATGCGAGTAGGTCATTTGGCCAAAGGGCTTCTCTTGAGAGGGGATGCGAGCGTTGAATTGGTGGTTCTGTGTGCGGAGAAACCAACCCTTACTCTGCTACGTAAGGTGGTGGAACTACTACCGGCAGCCATTAAACAGGTTACCAATGAAAATACCTACGCAGTCACAATCAATGCGGCAGATGCGGGTCTTACCGTTTCTGGAGATGGGTTATCAGTTTTAGTACAGCTTACCAGTCCAGTCATGCGAGAAGGTTAGATATTAGACTGTGTGCGATTGGTGTAAGATAGTGTGCAGTACTTTAGGGCAGGGTTTAAGCTGGTTCACATTTTGAATGCAGTTGGTTGTTGAGTTTGCGATGATGGATGGGTGGCGGATGCGTGGGTTTTTTTTAGAATTGCGTTTGGCAGCTTAAACCTTGATTTAATAAATATTGGACTTTTTCAGATTTACTGAAGTGTAGTGGTGAAAAATTGATTGACTTTTGCATCAATTTTACTTGTACTTTTTTATTTTAAGGATTTCTGGTCTATTATATAAACTCTTTGAAATATTTTCAAGGATGTTGATTTGGTATGTATAATATTTTTAAACAATTAAAAGTGATGTAAAAGATATATCGTAAGTGAAGCAGACTTGAAGCGCCATCACGGCGTTGGGTCCAATACTTATGGTTTTGTACTGTGCTGATGTGCCTGTTAAGAGCTGATTTTAGGTGGTGTGGGATAAGGATTTTTGACCACCCGGCCACCACAGCTGCATCCACCTACTTGGTGGATGCAGCTGTGGTGAGCGCGATGGTCAAACACCCTTTCTGATGTCTAGAAGCTGCGAGCGGCGGGTCGGACCGGGATGTTCTCGCACGCGGCAAGTGTCTCCAGGCGCTGGCAGCCCTCAGACATACCAAATGGTTCCAGGTTTGTGTCCATTCTCACACCGCGCAGCACTGCTCCTCCCTCTATAAAAAATACAGAATAATATTTTTTTATTCGATCTGACGATGTGAGTTTTAATGTTTGTTAGGGAATCGGAGCTTCACTCTGCTGGTATCTCACCACTCTCTTATTGTTTTATTTTGTTGAGTCTTATCGACTCCAGCTTTTTTGCTTCTATTCCCTCTGTATTTCATTAACTTTATTTATTAATAACTATAATAGAATTGTATTGAGAGCCCAAAAGAAAGTCACATCTTAATCAGATTGCAATTTTTGATTTAGAGGGTTCTACCAGAAAATTTTGTGGCTCCAATTATAATTACGGATTACTTTTAGATAATAACGCACAAAGCTTTATTTTCTTATTCTAAGAGGGAGCAACGCGGTAGTTTTACGTAGAACCCTCACACCTTCTTCAATTTTCACCACTCTAATATCCGTAATTTACAGGCTAGGGCACTGGGCTTACATTCCTGTGTGGTTATAATTCGTATTCTGAGAGATCTTTGCCACAGGGTTCCCACATGGTCTCCCCTCAGCTCATGGGTAATGCGACCTTACTAAATCTTTTTTCAGTATTATTAACCTATATTTAAAGGCAATGGAACTGTTAGCGGAAAAGGTTATTTCTTCAGTCCCTGGAGGAATGCAACTGTCGCCTGGAGACGCTCTTCGCAGAGTTATGGAAGCGGTCGCCGGTGGTATATTGTTACCCGGAGGACCAGGCTTGGGCGACCCATGTGAAAAGGACAACCCTGATGCAGCTGCTGCACTTGCCGCACAACAACGTGAAGATCTGACTTGCTCTGCTCAATATGCCCTTCGTTTGATTGCTTACAGACAAATATACAAAGTAAATTTCATTTATTTAGGGCTGGTATTTCCATCTTCGGATAAAGTACTAGATTCGTACCTGCAAAATAACTTATACCGCCCAATATCTTCCGTTTATCTATCTGCGGGTATTTCCATCAGCGTGCGGTATAAATATATCCCGTAGATAGCTACCTAACCATAGCCAATGTTGCCGATTTTAGAAGTCCGTAATAGAAAAAGATATCGAACGGCAGGACCATATATTAGAGAAAGAACTTACTACCTGACAATTTGAATGAATGCTTTTGTTTTTGAAAGGAATTCAGGGACTTGTAATATACTTGTCAAACGTAAATTACAGAATAAGCTTTACTTATGAGTACTCTGAACATGAACCAAAATCGTGATGTAAATGCACAGCGTAGAAAGAAAACTGCTAATTTCAGCACATCTGAAAATCGTGTGCTTGTGTCAAGAAAATCTTGATTCATTTAGAATCTAAAATAGGTTACCTATATCCTTCAAGAAACAATAGTATGTATTTGCGTACTTCTACTTACATACTTCAATTTCTTTCTTCCTATTTAGTATAGAGGTACGGTTGGTAATTTCGCAAATTTTTAAAACGTCACCATTTTACTAGAAATTTGACGCAATATCTTGGGGTTATATCGATAACTGCAGAAAATCTACCCAATAACTTTATCTAGAACTTATCCTGCCGATAATATTTAAACGAGGTTTGAAATACCCGAAGCGACGCTAACTGTCGGTTTACCTGGAAGATATCTTATACTTGACTTTATCCCGAGATGGAAATACCGGCCCTTAGTAGGTAAAGCTGCACTTAAGTGACGAGTTCAAGCATATGTGCCTGGGAGATAGTCGCGTGACATGTCAGACTTGCATTTCTCAAAAGGCCAATGTACCAGAAATGTTTATTGCACAGGTCTGTTCGTGTTAAATAGACCTAATTGGGGGGCAAGTTTGACACAAGACTTATCCCCCTCCCTTCTAAACAGATACACTTGATCCTTACTGGCATGTTATGCAACTATCTGGCTCATGTGACCCTGTATCTTTGATTGAAATTTAACAACCGCTTTCACAGGTATTAGGAATGGATCCTCTTCCAGTTCAACAAAAGGTGTTCAGACGTGACAGGTCTGCACGGAAACGACGGCGTTCCGGTGGCGAACAAGTAGATTCAGAAAGTAAGTTTGGAGTCAGTCTGTTATTTAATAATTTGCTATTCATAATTTTTATAAGGCGACAGTGGAAAAATGGTGAAAACAGATGGCAGTGACATTTCTGCCAGCGAAATTCCGACTACTACAAAGTAATCTAGAATAGATTCCTAATTAGTTTTACATTACCTTTATGTAATTGATAATTACAACTTTTTTGTGTATTAAATATCGTATAGAATTTTTTTTATTTCCTACTAATTTGTCTAAGTGTATAACATATTTAATCTCATAAAAAAAACAATTAAGAATGTACAAAATTTGATTTTATTTACTTAAGAATCGCAATAACTGGAATCTACAATAGGATCGTAATTTCGTGTCATTATTTAAGTCTTGTATTTTTTAGCGTCAACAAAATAGTTTCGAACCATTAAAAATATTGTATTAACAACTTATTGGACAGTATCTCATCAAAAATATATCATTCGGATCATAATGGCGTTTTTTTACGGTTGTAGTGAAGTGTGATGATTTTTTGGAATGCAAGGTGTAGCAAAAAAGTATTGAAAAGAATTTACGGCCAGTTGCAAAAAAAAATAATCCAGGATTATTGTTTGATCCGGTATTAAGACATTTGATTGGCTTTATATTGCAGTAGGCAGCCAATCAAATGTCAAAATTCTTGTTTAAACTCAAGATTTGGCAAATATTTTAATATTTATATTTTGATTATAATTCGCTTTCCTGCAACTGGCCGTTAGTAGCATAGAGGGGACAAACTTGTAAACCTGCCCACACTAGACTCGATAACGAACAATTGATATAACGGGCCATCAAAAATGAGTTGCTGTTGAGTCACCTTTGGAAGTTCAAGTTAAATACGAATTCCCATGTAAACAAAAATTCTAAAGGTGACTCGACAGCAACTTATATTTGAGTTGTGAAATTAGCGTGAGACACATATTTGATCCGTTTCACAAAGTGCCGATAATATTGGTTCTGAAGTCACGTGACCTGTATATAGCTATTGTTTACGACCTAGAATAATCAAATGCACGATAATCCTTTTACCAATGCAGCGTTGCCAATTCTTACCGCATGAATTATACGAAAGAGGGCTCTGGATGATGGCTGCAATTAAAGTCACTAAATATAGAAAGTACCGCAATCCATTGGGCTCGTGTGCTAGAGAGAGAACGCATGATTTTTGCCCAAAAATGGCGGAAGTTACCAGATTCTAGTAACTTTAATGGTAGGGATTGTTCCACCTGTTTGGAGATATCTCTATATATTTTTATAAAACATGACAGTACTTTGAAGTTAGGTTATAAAAAATGACAGCTATTCAGATTTTATTTTTCAATTTTTGTAAGTTGGCAGCAAATTTGCCCAAAAATGGCGGATGATTGCGGTACTTTCTATATCTAGTGACTTTAGCTGCAATAACCACTTCCGACAGTTTTGTTTTTTGAATTAGAAGTGTCAAATGTGTAAAACAAGCATTTAGAAACGTCAATAAGCCACAGCAAGTGCTTGAACAATGGATGTAGGTTAGTTCTCACTATTAATCTTAATTAACTATCAAAAATATCAAGCAATTAGAAACCTAATGCTAAAAAAATAGTAAATAGTGCTACAGTTAAACTATGGCAGATCTTATACGCACAGGAAGCGGCCAGGGCGCAATTATAAAGGATAAACTCGGTTCTCCCAGTACTGGAAGTGAAGATGGGAATGAGCAAGACACGCAAAGTGTTCCCAAACAAGAGGTAGACGAACCAGATTTAGGAGATTCCGCTCCTCACGCACCTCCCGAAGCTCAATGGTATCACGGTAGATTAAACCGATACCAGGCAGAAGAAAGACTTTGGGAAGCTGCAAGATTGGGCAGTTACTTAGTTAGGGAGAGCGACAGAAAACCTGGTTCATATGTACTGTCATACTTGGGACGTACAGGTATCAATCATTTTAGAATAACAGCCGTATGCGGGGATTTTTATATCGGCGGCAGGCAGTTTGATTCTTTAAACGATTTAGTTGGGTATTATACGGCGTGCAGCGATTTATTAAAAAGAGAGAGATTGGTCCATCCGGTTGCACCACCTGAGCCTGTCAACGATAAGAAGGTGAGTGGTTTTATTTTTATAGTTTTGAAGCATGAGTCAGAAGTTATTTCCTGACCAGTTTTGTTATCAAATACTTGTGGATGTAATACGCAGAATATTTAAAATTCAAAGGAAAATCATCAATTTTTTATTTCATGATGATAACAATCTCGACAACAATATTTTACTGAGTTTCCTAGTAAATTAAAACGAGTCACTTATTTTTCTGTAGATTTTGGACGAAGCGCTACCTGAAGGCGGGAATATTCTAGCAAGATTTCTCGCACAAGCTACTTAGTAGCAACTTGTGCGAGAAACCTAGCTAGAGTATTCCCGCTTTTAGGTAGCGCTCATGAAGCGCTTCGTCTGGTGTTATCTGCAATGATTTTCCATATGCTTCAATCTATTACTTTCTTACTGTTGGAGGGGAAAAATGGGTAAATGAAATGATAGAAACTGAATAGGGTTTAACATTGAAATTTTAATAAAAACCCCTTGACACTAGCACCTCACAAAAAAAAGTACCACCCTAGTCTAGTCTATTTACTTTATTTTACATTATAGAGGGTGGTGGCAATATTACCATACACAAAAATGCCAGATACTGACGAGTTAAGTTTTAAGAAAGGCGATATATTTTTCGTTCACAATGACATGGGCGATGGCTGGCTGTGGGTTACTGCTCACCGTACAGGCGAGCAAGGTATGATTTTCACAGAACTTGTGGAAGATCTTGACGATAGCATCGACCCAAATACAGTCTTCCCTTGGTTTCACCCCAACTGTACGAAGAATGAGGCAGTGGATTTGTTGGTCAAAGGTTAGTAAACATGATCTATACTTTATATATCATCGTAAGTTTTCTTTAGCCGGACCTGGAAGTTTTCTGGTGCGACCGAGCGATAATTCTCCCGGTGATTACTCGTTATTTTTCCACATTAATAACCAAATACAGCGTTTTCGTATTGAAAAGAAAGGTGTAAGGTATCTTATGGGCGGTAGAGTGTTTGAGTGTCTCGACGCTGTTATTAATAGATATAGAAAAGAGCAAATTGTAGAAGGTTATACGCTTCAACATCCAGTGAGTTTTTGTATTGTCATTTTTTAAAGTTATCGTTTCTCGGTTACAGCTGTTAGTTGATGGCACAAAACAGCAGGACTGGGTACCGGAAACACCAAAAACCAAATCGGAAGCCGCCGAAAAAATTTACGCTACTTTAAGAGAATGCCGTGATCAGGCTGGATTGAAAAGAATGAGAGGGATCAAGCACCAAGGCTATTTGCATCGGAAATCTGATAAAGTGGGGAAAAAGTGGAAATTGTTGTATTTCGTTTTGTTGGTTGATGGTACTGACACTCATTTGTATTTATATGAGAATCCAAAACGCACAAAACCGAAGGGTCTTATTGATTTATCGTGTGCATATCTTTATCAGGTTAGTATTTAATTCTCTCAAATCTCATACATGTGAAATGATAGAATTTATAAAATTGTGCAATTCTAATAAAGTGTTCTGGAGGCCCCTATAAAGTTCTAGAGGTCATTATAAATCTTGGGCAATCAACTAATAAAAAAGTAATATCGAAAATATGGGGATCCAACTTTACGCAGCCTTCCATTGCTTCAAAAAGTGCTTTTTGAGAGGTCTGCGAAATAATGCAAATAAAAACTTCAAATATTGACCAAAGTCTACTAAATATAACCACATTTATCTTTTAATGAAGAGTTACATTAACTTGTGTAGGGTGATCTAGAACTGTGACCTGAACTCCAAAATCCATCAAAAAATGATTTCGACTATGTTTCTTAAGGAACTGTTGAAGAAATCGCCTGAAATATCATAACTGGTCGGTTTTGATATTGTAGAGTTAAATGCAAAACTTTATTATAAAAAGTGTCAGTGCCTGTGCCTTTTAAAGGTCACTCGATACAGAACTTTAAAATGCTAACAAAAATATTGCCAAATACATCCCCAATGACAGCGGTTTTGACAAGTTCGATAGGATAGGTTGAAAGTCTTACAGACTCAAAATTTGCAGCCCAAAAATAAGCCTCACAGCAAAATATTCCCATCTGGAATTTGATTTTAATAAAAAAAATTCTTTTTTTAAAAAAGTATTTCTCTCAGATTCTCGCAGTTTATTTTTTTTAAGAACAAACAAAACTATACCATATCACAGCACTTAACTTGCATAAACTGCTCAGTAGGTACAATATGATCACTACGAAATACTATTACAGGTACACGATAGCTTGTGGGAGAGACCACACTGCCTACAACTTGTGGAAAGAGCTTTGCCCTGTCTAGCCACTGTCACTCACCTAGCGGCTCCATCTACGGAAGAGTGCCAAGCTTGGGTCAACGCCCTCAAACCGTTATGTATCCCACAACTCAGCAGAGCGACATCCAAAGTTCCGAAGCTACGTGAACTTCGTTGTTTGACCTTACACATTTTAGACGCTCATCGTTTGCCGTATAAGCTTGTGCCGACGCCTTTTATTACTGTCCAATTAAACGGGCAGGTCAGAATCGCGAAAACTAGGGTCAAGTCAGGACCGGATCCCGTGTGGGATGAGGAATTCATTTTTGAGTAGATACACGATGCGCTTGTTTTGCCAATTTTTTATTGTTCACTCGTAGTGATGTGCCATGTGATATTGTTTCCGTAACGTTAACGGTGCATAACAAGGGAAAACGAGGGAAGGATTCCGAAGTTGCAGAGCTGCATCTGGAGTTGTCTTCTTTAGGTAATGGGGAGGAAAAGGAAGAATGGTACGGGCTATCGGGGCTTACGCCTATCGGCGAATGGGGATCGTTGAGATTACGAACAAGGTAACGTAAACACCTTCGCCTTGTGTCTACTGATAGTGCAGCTTTGTAGATATTTACACGATTTAGTTATGCCGGCCGAAGAATACAGTCCACTACAACAGCTATTATTGGAACCCGGTTTGGTTTCGGTAAAGTGTCTAGCCGAAATTTGTCATGCGGATCGTGCACCTCTTGCTACAGCGTTACTTCGAGTTTTTCGTGCGGAGGGACGTGAGACTGAACTTCTTAAGGAACTTAATTCTGCAGAGGTAACGGAATTACATGCCACTTATTCTTAGTTGACAATATTTATAGGTTGCTCGCGAGACTGAGACACCTACGCTGTTTAGGGCGGCAACTTTAGCTACCACTCTGATGGATTTATACATGAGGGCCGAATGTGGGGGATTTCTGCAAGCTGCAGTACTAGAAACAGTGCTTCGACTGTTAGAAAGTAAACAGAGTGCCGAATTAAACCCTGCCAAAATGGACTCTCCAGATGACGCCTGTAGTAACGCGGAATTTTTGTTACAAGTGCTAGATCAGGTTTATGACAAGTTTTTTTTCATTATCGATTTTATCTTAAAAATTCTAGGTAACATTGAGTATATTTATGTCTCCAGAGGCGTGTCCGAAGTCCGTGCGTTTTATTTGTGGTTGCCTTCAAAGAGCAGTTGTCTCAAAGTGGCCAGGGGAACGTCTGGTTCGTACTAGAGTGGTGTCTGGATTTATATTTCTCAGACTCCTTTGTCCGGCTCTGCTAAACCCTAGGCAATTTGGGCTTGTTGGCGAACAACCGAGCCCCGCAGCCACACGAAGTCTTGTCATGGTTGCAAAATGTTTGCAAAATCTTGCAAATCTTGTGGAATTTGGAGGAAAGGTAAGGTTTTTTTTTAAATAATTGCATCTGCAAAGCAGCTTCAACAAATCAATTATCTCAACTTATTTGTCTCATTCAAAAAAATAGTTTCTTTACTACCTTACATGGAAAGAATGCTTTTTAGGTTAACCTCACCTATGCACTGCATCGTCAGAAATGTTACATACAGTTAAGCTAAGAATGCGAATTGTGCATAACTGTTCGTATTTGCTAAAGGACGATCACGTTTTCTTAAAAGTGTTCTCTTTGATATAGGAACCATACATGGAAGTGGTGAATCCTTTCATATTGAAAAATAAGGAACGAATGGTCGTATTTTTGGATCAGCTCTCTTCCGTAACCGAAGCAGGAGAACCAAGGATAACCAGCAAGCCAGATACGGCAAGAGAGCTAGCTACACTTCATCATATATGTGTTGCCCACTTACTTGAACTACAAGCAGTTGTCAAGATCAACAATAATATCAAAACTCTAGTTACGGTCACCGATATGCTTTCCAAGCACAAGCAAAAGTATTTAGAAATGATCAGATAGCAAAACTAAAGTGCTTACGTTATAATTCATTTTTATGTATTCTCACTAATCATTTTGTGTAGTGAAGTAGCGTAACAACCTATGAATATGCAAGAATGAATTGTGACTATACACTGCCACGTCTCAGGCAATTACTGCATGTGATCGTTTAAGGAATTCTCAATCGAGAAAAACATTCGAATCATTTTTTGATGCGTGCGTATCAAATTTGAACGTGCTTCCTTTAATTTCATTAAATGTATTATGTTGTATTATGAAATGTAACTCTTTTACGAGTCATTGTTTAAAGACTGCCTTTTTTTTTACTAAGTCAGTAGCAGCATTTTGTAAGTAGGCGTAAATTTAGATATTATTTCGAGCAACAGAAACTTAGCTGCCTTTATAGATTTAATGTATTTTGGTGTTTTTTTATATACGTATAGTAAACCGTGACAGTTAAGTGTTACACATATAATTCAATGAACAAGTTAACCTCTACTTATTTATTACAGATCCGAGTAGTCAGTTTAATTTTAGATCACGTTAGAGTAAGACCATAGCTGAGGTTGCTGCTTGTGTTAGTATTTTAATTGCGTTACGCAATTTCTAATGGCCATAATATTTATTATAATACATATTTTCCTGCATGTCTCCCCTTCATTAGTAGGTATATCATAGTTAGTCAAATTGAGAACATTGTATAAAATTTGTTTGTGTTTCATTTTAAGTGACAAGGAGATTTGACTGAAACATTTAGAGTCAATATTGCATAAATATTTGATTGATCTAAGACTTTTGTCCAAAAATTTATAAAAAAGATTATTTCTTTACATTTGTAAACTACTATCTTATTTATACTAGATATCTGTATGTACTTTTTATATTAAAAAAGGTGTATCTGAAGAGGTACTTTATTCTAACTTAGAAATAAAATAGAAAAGGCCATAATTAGACAGGCTCCTGCTACCCATGGTGATTTCCTTTCTCCGATTCTCGCACATTTCCAGAATGTGCCCATTAGACTGAAAATAAACATATTGTTAAAACTCACAATATAAGTTATTTGATCAACCTACGCATGAGCCCAATTTAATGTATAACGAGATTCTAGATTTTCACTCCCACTCATCACAAAGAAGATTCAAATACAGGGGTACATGCAGCAAATTCTATGAAGAAAGGAAAAGTACCATGAATTTATACATGGGCTATGTATACTTTTAAAGATAAATGCAACCAACTGACACAAGTTTGATTTAAATGCTTCCGTTCACCAGATGAAGCGCTACTTAAAGGTGGGAATATTCTATCAAGGTTTCTTGCGCTAGTTGCTGTTTGATAGGACTGTCCAGGTGTTTACCACCGTAAGTCAGAAGTACGGTACAGAAGGCCCATGCACATTGTAATAATGTGTTTCCACTTGCGAGTTATTCTGTTCTCTACTGAAGAGAGTACTAAGCACTGACAGAACTTGACGGATCGGGAAACAACCGCCACGTGTGTAGCCAAGCTTAGGGATAGCTATAATCTTTTTTATTATTAGCATCAAATTGTAATTTCTTAACATTAAATAATTGGGTAATTTATGAAACTAGACATTGTACAGTTTATCGGACCATTCCGTCCCAACTGAAGTACACAGTCGACAGTCCTCAATTAAGTAATGTACTTACCCAACTTTGTTTCGATCCATAATACTTGGAAAAAGTGATCTTAAATAGGCACAAGTACAAATCAGTAGTAATACGACGGTTAATAAACTTTGGAAGTTAAACACAGCAGACTAAAGAAATCAGTTTAAAATCAAAATTTTTTGATAATAAGCTACTTACCATTTTGCTTTCCTTTTAAAAGGCTCTAAGTTTAGAGATGGTTAGTTAGAGGTTATGTCAATAATTATCGCAAGACACAGATTCTCAAAACCAGAGAACTATAGTTTTATCAAGTAAAGGTAGGTTTACATGTCGACAAATATTTACCTTTGTTTAACAAACGATCTTACTCATAGATGCTCTTCACATGGATGTAATCTTCCTTTATGTCTACAAGCATTGTATATGTAATACATATACAATGCTACAAGTCTGTCGCCTTCTTCTCCAAGGTCGCAGTATAGTATATACACAACTCTGTGAAGAGTATAGCAGTATTTATAGCATAGCAGAAAAATCTAAATTTTAAAACTGGATCATTAACACAAACAGACACAAAAAGATTTATTTATTAATTGTAAGAAATCATAATAAAAGTTAGTCCTTTAATGGAGTTTGTCGCTGTAGTGCTTCAAGCAGATTTTGTTCTCTAATGTTAGCTTCTTTTAATCTCCTCTCGCGTCGACTCTCATCCCTAGCCTTATAATATTTATTCCTAAAATCAGCTATTGTATTGGCTCCGTTCGAATTCTCCTCTTGCGGCTCGCAAATTTTCTCAAAGGTCAACAATCTCCTAGACGTATATTTACTTAGTACTTGTTCACTGTTTGAAACTAATTTTACGCATTGATGCGTCGGCAGACCCTCCTCGGAGTAGTCTTCCCTAAAATTAAATGTTTCAGATACAAAATTAGTACCGTACTATAAGCAGTGACTTACCTAAAGATGGGAAACCAGCACACCAATCTTCCTCCTATCCTTAAATGTTTAGCGGAAAACGCTAGAAGGTCCTGGTACAGTTCGGAGAATTCATATTGAACTTTTGCGGGAATGTGAGTAGATAAATGCTTTTCGCTAATGCTATAATTTTCTTTATGAATTCCGACCTTTTCTGTCGCTTCTCGTATACCGTATGGGGCTAGAAACAAGAAGAAATTGAATGCAAGTTGTGATGAGGATGCTTCGGTAGCTTACGATCTGTGATGATCGAGTCAAATCTGATATCGTCCCTCCAGAAGGATGTTGCAAAATCGTTAACCATTACATCGATATACTTGTCCTGCAGACAATATTGCTCCATGTTTGCTTTAATACTCTCATTTTCGTCCCTCTTCTAAATTACAAGGGAATAAGTATGTAGAGGTATGCATAAAGAGCGTATTCATCATTAAAGAGAGCTCAGTAACGGAAAAGAGAGTAGGTACCTATTTTATTTCGTTCAACATTGACACGATATACTATCCCAGAAGCGCTCACATCTTTAGAAAAACATAGATTGTAGATCGGGATCAGGTGTTCTGTGACCTGCAATCTTTCCCGGCGAGAGGTTTATGTATGAGATCGCTGTGCATTTATTTGCTTGGATCTTTGACATTAACAGCTGATACAAAATTCGTAACTCATTTTATTTTTATGTGCAGTACTGACTCATGTTTTAACTAATCACAGCAACACATCAAAGCTTCCCTATGCTTTCTACCTGTACCTTCTTAAAATGAATAGAGTATAATTAATTAATTACTCATTAATTTGATTTATTCAGCTTAGAATTAACCACTTACTATGAGTAGAGAAAATCTGCTAAGAAATGAATCAAAGTTCATAGACACACCTTTCGGTACAGGAACACACTGTTTATTGCATACAGTACATGTAAGGTGCACATTGAGGTACAAACCAACAAAGAAACGCACCCCCCTTGGCGCTCATTTAATGTCACCAATTCACCGAATTTTGTAACTAGACTGCATATATGAAAAACTACCACATCTACATTTTTGAAAGCCATACCTACCTTTTGTTTAATTCTAGAGGGTCGACTTTTTCCATGCAACATTAGATAATCTATATCAGATCCAACCACGTAACCACCAAAATACGCTGCGGCTACCAATAACGATCCTGACCCAACAAAAGGATCCAAAACTAGATCCCCTAATTTAACTTGTGCTTGATTTGCCATTAGCAGCGACAGTTGCGGATCCATACTTGTATTACCTATAAATTTACGCGTTTTTAAGGAAAGTTCTCGAATTAACTGTCGGAAACCAGCAGCAACCTAAACTGTCGTATTCAAGCAAACTAAACCAATTGCTCTAGTGCAACTTACTATCCGCCCGAAGAAAACACAGTATGGTTCACTTGGTGGATCGTTAGAATCGATACCATAATACTCCAAATAAAGGAGATGTGTATCTGGATTGTTCAAATTAACCGTCCCTTTAAAGGGAAGATAGGAGAAAGTCTAAAACGTTGTTCTATGTTTGTAAAATACAGCGCCATAATACAAATGAGTTTACCTGAATTATGTTAATTTTGTCAGTTTGGGCCAAGTGCTTACAAAAACTTTGTACAGCTATTTTAAAAGTTTTGCTCAGTTGCAAATGATTTTCGAAAAAACTGGTGGGTATACACTTAAGCTCTCTGTGTAAATCATCAAGACCTCCGGCATGACCCCACAATTCCAAACAATATCTTATTGATAGCGATCGACTTGCTAATAATTTAGCATCTTCTTCTTTTTGGAACTCTACAATCCAGTACGGTTGCTGAAATATACTACTTGCTTTGTGGTGCTTCAAACTGTAGGACAACTCACCAAATCTTCTGGTTTCTCTAGGATACGCATGGTAATTTTAAATAAGGACAGCAGGGATTGAACTTCCTAAAGATAGCGGTTAGTAGAATTAAAGGAAGCTTAACTACGTACCGCAAATCGAAAGTCGACGTGTTCTTGCGCGAAATACAATAAATACCGTCTCCATGAAGAGTTCATTCTATTCAATTGTCTGGTAAATTTGAGGTTAAGTTTAATTTGATGTATTGCTACGTTGCCGTAATTCCCTCACCAGACGAAGCGCTTCATGAGCGCTACCTAAAGGCGGGAATACTCTAGCAAGGTTCTCGCTATCTAATAGCAAGCAGATGTCATTGATTATACACACTTAATAATCAACTAAAACAATAAAAAGTTCCAACGCTTTCCTGTTGCTCTAGAAGAGTTCTCTTCTAACCGGGCTGTTTGATATATTCAAAGGTTGGATACTAGAATATCCTAGAAAGTATGTATATACTTTATAAATCAGCGTGTATTCGGTGTACTTTACACTACTTACCGTAACATAGAAATAAAATCAACACGGATAAGTGAACTTTTAAGAGGGGGAGAGTGTGGCGTTTTTCATAATATAATTTGTCAATGTATAAAAATAAATGTTCTACGTTATTCACAGAATATTAAAATCTTTAATATTAGTAAATTATTCAACTATTATTACCTCTAAGATTATTACCTTAATATATGAATATACTAAGGTATATGTATATGAATATATTCAGAGCCAGGTGAAATACTTTTCAAAATATATTTAAAATAGAAAATACAAAATAAGGAATGCTAATTTATTTTAAATACAAGATATACTAAATAGATTTGGTATTTATATTTAAAATACCAAATAGACAATAGGTATTTCAAACTTATGTACCTTATGTATCTATCTGTTACATTGAGGGCCATTATTATAATATTCATAAAACAAGAACATATTAAAAAATCGTTTCTCATGATTTAACCATTTGCTTTAAGTAAAAGCAGTTTTTCAAGATGTACGTACGTCTGTTAAACATCTTCTCTTTGGTCGCATAATCATTCATGCATAAGAACAGGCGTTCCACAGGAGCCAACGAAGGAATTGTAGTGTTGTACTTAAAAAGCAGATCTCTTATTATTGGATTATTGATCCAACATAAGCAACTCCATACGCGTCACTATAAAACCATACAACGATACAAAGTTGATGATACAAAATTAGCTTTTTTTACATAGGTTCAGAAATGTTTCAAATATAAAATACCTTGAGAAATCTATTTCAAAAACAATATAGTTTTTATAGGATTATTTAAAATACAAAATATGAAATAGTATTTTGTATTTCAAGTACCTAATTAAAGTAGATTCATTTGAAATAATTACCCAGCTCTGAATATTATCAATCACAAGCCTTGTAGATATTGTAAATATATTTTGGTTATAGTATTTCACATCCCTGTGACTGTCTCTTCACGAAGAAAAGTGTTTGGAACCTCATTTTTAGCATAACACAACATAGTTGAGGTAACATTTATGTGCTCGACTTTCCGTCGTCTGTCTGTTCCATCGAGATCTCGGCCCCTGGACCACCTAGGGCCTTCAAGTTTTCGCTAATTGATATAGCTGCTATGGTTTATATTTGCCCGTTGCTTATTATTTAGTCGTGTTACGCGGCAACACCCACGAGTGGGTATTGAAACATTTTTATAATATAATTGGTATGTCTCTTGATACACAGCTTACACAAAATAATCAGTCTATCATGTTTACTTACACCAAAGAGTACCCATTCTTTGCTTACACTCTTGTGCCCGTTTACCATGTGTGGGTAGAGGGTTGCTTCTTTGACATATCTGGACATTTTTCAATGTTGGAACCAAATTTACATCACATTTATAGTGTACGTTGCGAACCTATAAAAAAAACAAAATCATAATAAAACATTAGTTCCCATTGATAAGGAATAAAAGAGGATGTGACATTCTTTCATATGAAATATGATATGCCAAAGTTTGAATGGTCTATAACTTTACCAAATTCAATTGTTTTTAGTTTGACTATCATGTCGAATTTAATAAATTAATGAAATGACTACTGTAAATTTATTAGGGACAGTTTTATAATCAGTTTCTGTAAATGTTAGTAATTAATTTAATACGAATAAACATTTAAATTTACGTTACAATAAAAAAAAATAAAAAAGAAAAGGTCATGTTCGTCATAAACTCGAAATAGGAAAAAACTGCGATACATACGTTGGTAATTATACAATTGCAGTGACAGTCTTAGAAAAACTATTTAATAATTAAACCTAATTATACAAAGGAATGGGATAACAATTTTTTTAGAAATTCAAATTAGTGGAGTAGTGCACCAATTTCGATATCAGTTAATTGGGATTAGAGACATAATGAAAGGGTTTTAGGATCTACCCAGTATATTTAAAAAAAAACATTTAAACAACTCTACAAACAATACAGTGGAATATAAAACATTAGACAGTCACTATAGTGCTTTTAACAATCACATGCCTTTATTTGTAATCTATATATCCTTCATTCAACCAAATTTAAACTAATATATAAATATTTATTAACACTAAATACAAATAATTAACTAATTTGTAGTACTGATAGACGTTCTTCAATGTTATTATCTGTAAAAGTGTCCTTAACAACTGAATATCTCTTTTTTATTTCTAGTAATGCCCAATCAACCAATTTAAGCATCTCTTTTTTCTTTTGCGCTGTACATTTTGGAGAAGCCGCAATGCTGCTAGAAGTCTACAACATGAGTAAGTTAGATAAAGGTCCCTTTCATAGTGAACTTACTAAGTAAACGCCGTAGAGCGCTCTAAGATTGTTTTGGTTCAACTTCAAGGCTTGACAATAATATCCTCGTGCCAATTCAACGTTATCATATCCGCCTTGGGTGTAACGGATATCAGCATAGCGTTGATGTAGTAGGTGATTGTGGGGGTTGTGAAGTATGAGCTCTTCGACACAAAAAGCGGCTTTGTTATAGTCTTGCTCTGCTATGTATAAGTCGCTTAACTCTTGCCAACCTTCGATGTCTGACATAAAACTGATAGAGAAATATTATGTTTTTTCTACCTCACCTTCCACAAAATTGACGCATGCATTAGATAGACTAGATGTGAAATAACCATATCCAACTCTATCTTATGCAAGCAAATTGAAAAAATTGAAGATGGGTCTATCAACTCACATTTTTAAATACTCCGTAAGTTCCTTAATTGCCTCTACATTTTTGCCTTGCGCTCTCAAAATTGAAATTTTTCTTTTCCTAGGCGCATTATTCGTCTCATCTTTTTTTATCAACGAATCTAATACTGTCAAGGCATCATCGTAACACTCCTGCGCCTCTAATCTCATGGCATAATACTTTTTCACCCGTAAACTACTAGGAAATTCGTTCGATAACTGCTTGATGCAGTAATCAACTGTTGGTATTTGATAACAATCAAGTGCCGCCAAGCAAACTTGCTCCAGTACCGAAAATTCTAAAAATACGTTTTAAAAAGCGGCATTGTGGAAGTATCAGGCATATACTTTCTCCTCCTAACTTGTTGAGATTATATTCCAATACGGATTTCCACAGTTGTAGTACTTCCTCGCTTCTTCTATCATTATCATCCCTCCACGTACGCAATAAATCGCGTGCTTCTGCAGAATTAATATGTAAATAGCTCAATTATATTGTTTTATTCTTACCGCTCCAGCTTAAATTACTTAAATCGTTCATCGTGTAAATGTCAACCTTCAATTCTATTATGGCACAAATACAATATTTACTCCACGTTATCACCCTTTTAATTAATAATTAATATTCTCAAGTATTTACAATAATTTTAGAACGACAGAATTTCCTTTAGTAAATCTAGTTACATTTATATATTTATTCAGTGTTTTATCTTATGCTTCGTTGCCACTCCTGTTTGCCAGTAGCGTATCACCATTTTTACCACCGCATGTTAGTAGGGAGGTATTGCCACAGAGTTGTATATACATCTCTGGGGTACGTTCGAAAATTGCAACGTTGTAGTTGAGTTCAAGTTACTGAGTTTTATCAGCTGATTGTGTGGTTTGCCTTTGGAATCCAAGTTCCTTGGAAGACAATATTCATTGAGGCAAAAAGTTGCTGATGAGCGAGTATATAAAAATGTTGTAATCGCTAATTGGGAAAGAACATTTGGGATACTCTAGAAGGAGGTAATTGTAAGAAGCGAGGTAAGAAGTATGCACGCAGCACAGTTTGCAAAACTGAATTGTGACGTCACTAGTCCAGTTTGATCAAACCAATTTGTCACTGTTTGATCATGTGACATGGGCATTACATGTTGCAAGAATTGTGGCATGGACACTTTTTTTTTATCTTCAAGCACGCCCCTGGCCAGTTGACAGTAGAAAGAGGTCGAGAGTCGAGGTGATAGTGTGTATGTAGCCTGTGTATGGATTTAAGAAAAGAATGTTGTCCGTTTTATGGCATTTTTGTGTTAAAAATGACTTCTGATCCATTATTCGTATAATAATTGTCCATCTCATGAGGCAAGTGCTTTATGTATAGCCACTCTTAAGATGCTTTTACTATAAAAATGCGGAATTTGGAGTTTGTTTTGATTTGCCATTTATTTTTGCATTAACTCTATTTTTGCTAACTCTTCCCAAATACTTTAATCTTCCTCAATTTTGCTTAATTCCACGTAGAAAACTAGCATGGCATATGCTTTAAAAATGGTAGAATGTGCAGAAAACTTGATAACCATTGATTTTACTCTCCAGATCAATAGCAAACTGAGGAGTGTACCTACACATTTCAATCTAATCAACTTAGAAGTTCATTCAATGTGGAGTTAGTAAATATAAATTGTAAAAGATGGATAATACAAATACAGTGTGCCCAGTGTGCACTTTATATCTTCGCCCAGGAATTACGCTCAAGGCCCATTTGACAAGTCACCCCAAGCAGAAGGTGATCGAGGCACTCATCAATCTGACTAACACCAGAAGTGATGCTGATGATAAGGAAGTTGCAATTCCCAGCTCGAGCGCTGATGCCCCACCACCTAATCCTCAGAATTGGAGTCAACCTGTATCAGGATTCAACTCGATGCAAGGTAATCACTCGTTTATATATCAACAATTTATGAGCACCACAAGTCAACCCCCCTCCAATGTCGTCAATGTAAACCCTATGGCACAACAATATATTACGATTCCTGCCGTCTTTAATCCGCAAGTCATGTGCCAACCTTATATGTACCACCAACAGCAGCAGGTGATAATGTCGGCGGGGACCTCCATACCATCGCCCGTATTTAGAAAACCACAAATTATTGACCTTTGCAATGAAACGGACAACACAAACTCTAACTTACAACAAGCTGAAGATGAACAATCGGAAAATTCTGCAGAAGAAGCCCTCCCTGACTGTAGGGAAAAAAATAAAATTGAAAAAGACCTGTCCGATGAAAACATGTCACTAGGAACTGACGACTTGGACTCTCCAAGCCACTCTCCGATGTCCACTTTCAACAAGGAATCCTTAGATAACATGGAGAATCCTAAACAAGAAGAGGTAGATCTGGACCCATCAGAATTCCCCGTAGGATCACCCGCCTCTAGTGAAGGCTCCGATTATCTCAGGGTACGGACGGATCTTAATAAAGCCTGTCAAACGCAACACATAACTCAAATGAGTAACGAGACTGAAATTGTCGACGAGCAGGAAAGTTTGAATGGTTTTGATGAAGAATCCGAAGTACAAAATTCCAGTATCGTGCCTTCTTTTGAGGCGAACAATTTACATTATTCGTCTAATCCGATAAACATTTTGCAATCGAACGATCAAGTAATTGACATGGACGGTATGCAACTGGTGCTGTGCAATGATTTTATGGGTAGCCAATTAATTTCTCAGGTTGATGATTTTGAATGCATTAATAATCGGGCGGAACAGACAGTCTTGATGAATATTGGCGGAATGGATGGCGGTCCCTCTGAGGCATATGAAGATGAAGAGGATCATATGCAAGAGGAAAGTGTTTCGCGCGAAAGTACCAATATAAGTATTCGGGCGGACGAACCGATGCCTCCACGGGGAGAGTTGTCTGGTCAGGTAAGTTTTTGGCGACTGCAAAGATCATACTACACTGGATAGTCAGTATAAAGTAAATTACATTCATATAGTTCTGGAATATAAGGCCATAGGGACCTTTTATCCTAAGCTGTACTAATTGTTTGGAAAATGCAGACATGTCCTCGAAGTCACCAAGAAGAGAAAAAAATGTTTAAATCGTTTATAAAAAAGCTTCTAAGGCTTCTTACTTAAAGCATGGTTGTTTTGCTAAAATCAAATGAATCATTGCACCTGTATCCAAGATAAGGACGTCTATCATGGGGAGATTCGAAGATCTCTATGATAGACATCCTTATCTTGCCACATAACATAGGAAGATCAGTTGGAAATAGAAACTAAATTCCAATGCAGAACGTTGTGAAAACGCATGAGACTTTTTGTCATAGACAAAGGTATTAATTTTTTTTAAATCGGTCTACTTGGTGTAGTATGATCTTTGGCAAGTGCAATATGGGCTCTAAACGCATGTGTTTTATAGGAGAGCAATGGAGGGGCCAGCGATATTGCGTGGAGCCGAATGCATTACGAAGGCAATTCCCCAACTTCCACCTCGTATGATCTTTTAGCACGTGAAACTTGGGAGGGTTCTGATTCGTCGGATGCAGAAGTACCTCCGCTGCAAAGTCGTGCACCGCCCCACATGCTTTATAAGGGTGAAACGGATGATACTCCCACCATTGTCAGCGTCACGGATCCCCCTTTGAACTTTAAGTGCCCAATATGCGGACTAGGATTTAAATGCCCTAAGGAGCGCCGCGTTCACCAAACTGAAGTTCACAGCAAAAAAGCTGATGAAACTAAAACAACTAACAATGCGATCGGTTTAAAACCTAAAAAACCTGTTAAAAAATTAATTATTAAACCAAAACGAACTACAGAGATTAAAAGAGAAAATAATTTCGATAATGTTTTCACTAGTTTGTTAAGCACTGAACCGGTACCTGCTGAAACTAGTGAGCAGGTAGAAGCGGAAAGACTGCCAGAATATGATGTGGACGACAAAAAAGACGTGAAGCTGTCCGCGCTCGGAATTGAGATGGGTTTGGGTGAACCTCGCCAAAAGAAAACAAAAGCCTCTTTCAGGTGTGATACGTGTGGTGAAGTCGCAAAGAATGAGGCGTCATACAATGAACACTTGCGGATTCATCCCTTAGAGTGCAATTTATGCGGAAAATACTTTTATAGGTACGTAAGATATCAGTGTTTATACAGGGTGTCCCACAATCAATGCCAGCTATCTATACCTATCTTGAAAAGGAGACTTTACGAATATTTTATAAATTCAACACTACTATCAATAAGAGGAAATCAATCAAAAATATTTTCAATTTGGTGGCACACTGGCATTTCCAGTTATACCGGAAGTTGGTAATAATAAAAATAATATTTTATTGCCCAACAGATTGTAAATAATCCTCTTACAGGACAATGTAGTAACAAGCAAGTAAATAAGAGTAAGAAATATGCGTAAAGATAAAAAATAATTTTAACGAGCCATTAGTAATTTTTTTTCGGCTTTCTGATGGTGCTAAAATAAAATTGTTATGATTTGTGGGTTTCAAGTAAATCACATCAACTTTGTTATTCAGTAGGGATGCCATTTTGTATTTTTTTGTCACCGATAGAAAAAAAGTAAAATAATAACTTGAAAATATTTTATATATCGACATAAGTAGGTATATTCAAAATATTCCAAGGTCTCATTTTCAAGATATAGATAACCAGCATTTGTAGTGGTACACCATGTATACTGTTTCCGTAAACAATTGTTTCTGGATTTCGGTTAGCAGTTTTGCTAATGGGAAAGCGTGTAAGGAAACATTACATTATTACAATGCTACAAGACAGGCGGTGTTTTGTCAATTTTTTGCAAGTGTATTGAGATACGTTTTAGAATAATGCCATTTTAATTAAATTGTGTTAATAGTTAAGACATCTTAAGATTAGGAAAATATTTCAAAAAAGGGTTCTAAATGGCTGGGGTAGACCTAAACTACAATGTTTTTCACAAAGCTGTTAGCCAAACTATAAGCAGATTACTGTAGGAACATCTCCACATACGGTTAATGCCAAAGAATCCATGTTTTAGTTTATATATAAAAACCTATAAGCTTCATCATGTAAAAAACTACTGCACTACATGCAAAACGGGTTTAAGAATACTCGTTTAAAAAACCTCTACTGTGTCAAAAAGTTTTAAAAATATTTTCAAATTCTAGATACCGAAGGAATGTTTCTAAAAATATTTTTAGTAAGATCTTTAGTTGGAACGGGGTCATGTTCGATTTTTGACTTTTTTGGGCGCAAAGGGCCATTTTTGGATTCTACATCCGATCATAGGTAGTATAGAATTTACAAATTTTCTGTATTTCTATGAAACGTCCACGTCCCATTATATTGGGTTATTGGGAAATATCAAACATTTTCAACAATTTTCTGTTATTATTTATTCCAGTTCGAATTGAGTAGGTATTCATAGCTAAGAAAGAGGACAACGTCCGCCGGGTCAGCTAGTTGTTGTATATTTTGTGATTCCAAAAAAATTGTTGCGCAATGCGTTCATCAGATGCAAATGCAATTAAAACTGATTGGTAGTTCAGTTGTGCCCGAGATTCCGAAACAATTGAAACAGAATGTAATTGCGTAACTTTAATTGAATACGTTTATTTAGGAGACCCAATTTACAACTGCACGTCAAGCGTCATCTGGGCATCAAGCCATACTCGTGCGAATTTTGTCAGAAGTCATTTTTAACCAAGCAAAAATTAGACGAACACAAAAACATCCACACAGGCGATGCTCCGATAAAATGCAATATGTGCGAAGAGACTTTCAGGAGACACTCGAATTTAGTGCAGCATCGCAACCGTCATCATTTGAATATAAAGCGAAAGGTTAAAGATTACATCTGCTACTGTGGCGAAATCTTACATTCGAAGAAGAAATTGGCTTGGCACAAGGAGATTCACGATGCTAAGCCAAAGGCGTGCGCGCACTGTAGTGAAAAGTTTGTGCATATGGCGAGTTTGACTAGACACATGCGTCACGCTCATAATGAACGTTTCGTACCCGAGGAAGATCGAAGTAGTGAGAACGTCGAGTGTCCCATTTGTAAGGGGGTTTATCTAAAATCATCGTTAGAGGTGCATATACGTAACCACAGTGGCCAAAGGCCATTCACCTGTACTGTCTGCAATAAAGATTTTACCACCAAGTGGAATTTGAAGCTGCACAAGTGGACACACGCCGCACGTGCGGCCAAACCGTACAAATGTGATTTGTGCAAAGGCGCTTTTATTAGGGAGACGGATTTCATAGCACACATGAATTCGCATAAAAGCGTACGTCCGTACACTTGCAATCATTGCGGCGCGCAGTTTATAAGAAAGTACAACTGCCAAAGGCACGTCAAAGAGCACGAAAAGGCTAAAACTTTTGCGTGCCAAGTCTGTGGTAAGAGTTTTCATCGGTCATACTACCTCAAAGATCATATGCGGGTTCATAGTGGTGTAAGGCCGTTTTCTTGTCATGTTTGTGGAAAAACGTCTACGACAAAATCGAACCACAACAAACACGTGATGATACATCACGCAAAAGAGCCTGTTAGTACAGAAAATTAATATTTAAACTTTTTATTTTTTAAGCGTGTAGTTTTATCGTTTTTAAGTTTTTGTTATTTAGTCAAGAGCGAAACAAAAGAAAATATGTCAGATTGATTTGCAAAATTAACCAAAGATCATAGACTCCAATTTTAAATACAATGTCATATTTCGTTTTAATTGAATTTTACAATTGAAGAATTTTAGTTTTTAAATAAATATTAATTGAAACTTATACAGCAATGAGTAGTTAGTAACTATTGGTTTTAACGTGTGTATATACGTTTTACTACTTTTAGATTATCATTCATTCTTGTTAAATAATTTGAAAGATTCTTTTAGTTGTATTATAGTTTTATTAATAAAAACAGCGTTCTGTTTTTTATTCTTATGGATCTGTACGTCTAATATACCATTTGTACATAATTATAGATGTATGTAATATAAATTGCTTTTAAAGCAGCTGTAGAAAAGCAACAAAGCAGTGTGACCTCTACGGGATGGTTGGATTTGACCTATTGTCAATACGCTTCTTACATGTGACATAGATAGGTCAACTATGCAAAATTTGAACCAAATTGGTTCCAGTGTTTGCCAGTATTGTGTTTACAGAAGACAGAAACCATCACCACCCCTAAAAAGCTTGCATCTCTTTGCTCTGCTGCTTAATAAGCCAATCATTCAAAATAAATGAGAAGAAAAAAAAGACGATTTAGCCGAAACACATGACTATCATATAATAAGTTAGGAAGAAACAAATTTGGCAAAATTACGTTGCAGCCAGAAAGTTAACAGAACGTACCTGTTTAAGGATTTTTGGCAACTGCAGCTTCAATTCTACATACAGTTATTATCTACACTAATGTAACTTTTGTAACAAAAATTCGATTTTTACGCAAATACTAAATGCTATTTCATTTAATTTTTCCAGTTTTCCTAATTGAAAAATAATAAATGAGGACATGGGTAAACGCAGAATATTTCAAGCTGTTTACAACTTTGTTCTAAATTAATTAGGGGAGAAAATATTTAAATATAAAGAAATTACCATTGAAATCCCTATGACGCGTAAACCGTTTTTGCACCCTGTATATGTACATTTAAGAATAATTCCGGGTACATTATTACGCTTGAATTGTGTGCTAATCGGCAAGTTTTAAGTGCCTATTATTCCAGAGAAACTATACTTTGGTGAAGTCAGGAGTATGGTGGCTGTATCTCCGAAATTCTAAGAGTTCCAAACAAATAAAATTTTTCCTATGCCAAATTTTAATTACATTATACACTGACATATAAAACCAAAGAGTACCCTAAAACTAAAGAAAACCAAAGTTTGGAATTTTAAAAATGTAGTTCCAGCACGAAACATTTTGGGTCCTGACATTTCACACTAGAAAAATTGGCATCCACATTCACCTAATATTGGTCCACATGTAATCACTTTTCAAAACACTCGTCTCTGAATCTGATATCACCATTTCTTTAGCGACAACTGAAATTTCTACCAAATCTTACCACACTGTCTGCACCAATTTAATCGGTAGAACTATTTTTTTAAGTACGCAATTCAAAACCTGCAATTTTTATAGATGATACAATATTGGTAATTTACAGAAGCGAAATCCTGTATATATTTGTAATTATTGCGGATGTAATAATTTACCATAATTAGCATTGTACCTATACATATAATTAATTACATAGTGTTGGATTTTAAGTTTAAATATATCAATATCAAAAATGTATAATAAATAATAGCAATTCTAGAGAATGAATAAACATTTCAATACTCACAGAAGTAGTATATCTACTTCTACCTACATGATATAGTGGCTCCAGTCGGTAGTCAGGATAAGCAGGGAAAATTGTACATATTAATAATCTTTAATTCGGAAAATTGTAAATACCAATTACAGAAACGCCAATCACAACTTTTGATTGAGAAGTCTGATCGAAAAAGTACGAATTGTTTTGGATTCTACGCACCAAAATTAATAAGAAAAAGTGTTTTCCCGAGAAATTTTGGTGTAGTCGATTTTTGGTCAAAAAGGAAGGTTATACACTGCCTTTTTTTGAGTCCCGAAGAAAAAATTGTCTCAGATCGACCCGGAAAAAAAATTTTCTTATAGAACGTGGCCTGTAGAATCCATAATTTCAAACAGTTCCAAGATTGGGCTACTAGTTCAAAAGTTACAGCCCTTTGAATTTGTTTCTAGTCTATAACTTGATTGAGAAGTCTGAATAAATGGCAGTTCAAAATGTACGGAGTCTTGCAAGATCTGTAGAGCAATTGTAGTTTAAAGGCCCGGTTTTTGAATAGATTGATTAAATACAATAAGTACTAGTGCGCCATCTCCATGGCAATCGATACACTTTCTATCAATTATAGTTTTAGAAGTCTAGTTGAGATGTCGCCACGTACGCACCTTCTTTTAAAATTTTATTTGAATTTATGCGATTAATAGCAACGTTGCACTTATTATTCCTTAAATGCAGTGCCGTTTTTAAGTTTTTCGGGGCCCTGGGCCATTCGTTCGTGGAGGCCCTCCTTACCCTCAATAAAAACGGCAGATTGGGGAGATTCAAGCAAATCCCTAATTTGAATATGGGCACTCGATATTTGTGTAGCCTGGTTTGTAGGCAACACATCATGCTCAATGAACAGAAAACATTTATTTATGCAATTCGTAACTTCTTATGCATAGGAGTTTATTTAAAGCCCTTGGAAGAACAATTTCAATAACAGGTACATTAAACTGAACCGTTTTACAACAATTTTCACACGAAGATCGCACAAACAACACATTTTTTCGTGATTGCAAACTGCGTAACACTTTTGCCTTATTTCGCTGCCAATTTTACTACCGTTTCTATAACCGTAGTTCTATCAAATAAACTCTAGGATCAATTCTTTAAAGAATAGCTTCGCACCATCGCCAGCTACTGCAATCATGTAATCGTTCCGATTTTAACCTTGAGAAGTTCGAATTGCGTTAGAATGGGTTTTCTGCGAGTTCTCCACGGTGTCCTCCTGTTTTGGTTACAAAGCATTTCCCTTTTCAATTTGTGTTGTCTGAACTCAATGTTAACGTTTCTCATCCATCGAGAACTATACTGCATGTCTTCGATTGCACGACACAGAGCGAACAGTATCATATTCCGCAAAGGTTGAGTCTGCGGCTTTCCTGTCACTCCCAGTAGCCAGTTCCCTAATTTAAACCTGTAAGCGAGAAAGGAATGATAACAAAGTTTAATTTTTGACTATAAAATAAACATTCATTATGCATTTGAGGTTAAAACTTCATATATCTATGGTTTTTAAAATCAGCGCTCTGACATCTAACGTTAGTTTCATAAAGTACATTTCAAAATTAGTGTGGCGACATCTTTGAGGTGTAAGTTCCAACTAAAATAATGGTGGTAATAAAGTGTCCTGCATTTCGCGATAAAATGGAAGGTTATACACTGCCTTTTCTTTTGCCCAGAAAAAAGAAATGTCTCAGATCGTCCTGGGAAAACATTTTTCTTTTAGAATGCGGCCTGTAGAATCCATAATTTCAAACAGTTCCAAGATTGGGCTACTAGATCAAAAGTTACAGCCCTTTGAATTTTCTTTCGAAATTGGTTTCTAGTCTATAACTTGATTGACATTCCATGAACCCTCTCTTAAAATACGCAAGACCTAGCTACTTCCAGAGACGTGAAACAGTGTTTCTCGCAGTACAAATTATTATTCAGAGACAATCGACAATCACTTGCGATCGATAATTTGGAGATGCCTTTTGTTGTACATTGCAATGCTAAAGAAACTCCTGGTAAGTAATGTTCAGCTACTATTGGTGAATAAAAGACGTCTTCTCTCCATTTTTTTTGCGAAAATTGTCAAAATAATTTTAAGTTTTTAGTGAATATTTTAATGTTTTTAAAGCACATAAAAAATAAATATTTTGGAAGTTTTTAGCACCTAAAAATCCGCGCCCTACTTAAGACCCTTGCACCCGTATGTGCAGAATCACACATACTTGACCAGCGAGCTTGCCACATTTATCAAATAGGGGTTGCGTTGATATTTTACTTTTTCGTTATTAAGGACTACCCTAAAATATGGTTCTTACAGTACAGTTATACTCACCGGTGAGTGTTGGTCCGTTGATGTGGTGCACTAACAATGCAGTTCTATTCTATTCTATTCGCAGGGGACCCCGACCGGGCAGCACTTAGGCACACCAGAGGCCCATTGTGCCTACCCCCTTTCTTCGCAACTGAGTTCAGAGCCCGTTCCTCTCAATGAAGGATAGGACCCTGTTTAGCTTAAGTTGCTTCACCCTCCTCGGTTCCAGGTATCTGTCTCCAAGGAGTTGATATCTGTCCCTGATCAAAGCGTCACAGTGACAGACCACATGCTCGGTAGTTTCATCTGCCTCGCCACAGAACCTGCACGTTGACTCCTCCGCGAGCCCAATGTTATGCAGGTGATAGTTGACCATCCAGTGTCCCGTAAGGACACCAGTGATCTTCCTAAGCTGGCTTCTATTCAGTTTTAGAAGCTTAGAAGACCCTGATTTGCCAACGGGCCCTGTTAGAAAGGCCTTGGACTGTCGGAGTCCGGTTACTTGTTGCCACTGAGCCTGGAATTGACTGGTCAACCAATCTTTAATCCTGGCCCTAACAACGGAGGGAGCAATCCCTAGGGTAGGCTCGGGCCCGACAATGCAGTTACTTGACAGCCTGTTTGTGTCGGTTGTTCTACAATCGGACTGTCTTATTGGAGGCGGTAGGAGAGCAAATTTGTATACTTATGCCAGTAGGAGCGTTCCAGTTTTATCACCCTAGTAGCCGTTCAGTTTATGAGCGATTCGTAGGTATTTGAAATGTCTTGGGTTACGATTTGTGAACGTGGGGCTTATACTGTCCTTTTCGGATTTTATACTGCTGCAGCGAAACATGGCTCTCGGTATAACAACCTCAAAAGTCTGCGAGTTTAAATGTACATTACGAAAATGTTTATTCGTTATAATAACTTGTGATGAAAACAATAACCTAACCTACATTTTTATTAATAACAAATTGCAACTTTGAACCTTGATGTTTCTTTCGCATGCGCAGATTGTACGGAGATAGGCGTTTTATCTCAACGTCAAAACACAGCTTTTTCGTCATTTGTTTCTAAACATAACCCAAAAATGAACGATTTTGGCACCTTTTCAGGTGTAAATTTTAATAAACTTTGCCGTGTTTGCATGAATACACTAGAAAGTAATTTTATATCATTATTTAATTCAAATTCGCCTAGCAACTCAATTTTTTTGGCTTCAAAAATTATGACCTTTACGAACCTTCAGGTACACTTAAAATTGCGATGTCGTAGAGCAAATTACGGAATGATTGTTTGTTAGGTTAGCTACGGTGATGGTCTTCCTCACTCAGTGTGTTTAAACTGCTCGCAACAAATAGAAAACGCCTATCTTTTAAAACTTCAATGTGAAGAATCAGATATGACACTACGACGGTATTTAACTCCACAGACCATTACGAACTCAGATTTTGAGCCTTCATTTCCCGAACCAAGCTCAGATTTGTATACTGCACCTTGCCCCAAAGCAGCCGAAGCAGATGTTAAGTACGAATGTCTTGAGTGTAAGAAAGTTTTTAGTAAAGCTAATGAACTCCGTAATCATAAGAAAACGCATAGGGATTATCAATGTAAATTGTGTTCTGATGTTTTTAATTCGTCTGAGCAACTTGTGGAACATACAAAACTTCATAATTCGTCAAAGAAAACTAAAGATACTGGGCACGTCTGTACAGTATGCGATTGTCAGTATCGGGACAACAACAAACTAGTTGAACACATGCTGAATGAGCATACGGAAAAAGTTGTTCATGAGGACGAAATTGAGAAAATATCCGAAGAGCATTTGGTGTGTAATGTCTGCAACAAATCTTATTTAAAGGCTAGTAACTTAGCGGCTCATATGGGCACTCATACTGGCATTAAACCATATGCATGTAACATTTGTGGAAAGTGCTTCACACAAGGTAGAGCACACGCTTGTCATATGCGAACTCATTCGGATACAATTGAAAAGCCTCATCAGTGTGGAGTGTGCAAAAAGGAATTTGGGCAAGAAAATCAGTTGTCCGTGCATATGAAGAAACATTCTGGTAAATCTTTCGTATGTAACGTCTGTGGAAAGAGCTACTGCAACTCGGGCAATTTGAAATCTCATATGCGTCTACACACTGGTGATAAGCCATATGCTTGTCACATTTGTGGGAAGAAATTTGCGCAAAGCAATGCGCATTCGTATCACATGAAGACTCACACAGGTGACTTTGAAAAAGTACTGTCTGTGAAATTGGCTCAACCCATTTTGAAACAGGTATAGATACTGTAAGACATTGTTTAGCGTTCATCTAACCATTTTTTACGTTTCTTGAAATTATCCTAAAAAACTGGGTATGGTTAGCTTCACAGTAGCGATGTTATGAAAGTGGTTAGGTATATTAGAACCGAATTCGAAAGCGGAGTTTTTAAATTTGGGTTATTGGCGGCAAGTATAAACTTGTTTGTACGTAAACGCACTGATTTTGGTCATGCCGCCGCTGTTCATTAACCTCCTATATAACTTTTAATTAAAATTTATCAGTAGTTCCGAGCTTTCGGAATCAGAGTCGAACCTTCGTAATATCTCTATTTCACAGTAACCTTGCCTAATTTAGCATGGGATTGTTTTGTTTAGTGATAAATTCTGAAAGATTGATGTTGTTTGTGTAGCTATTAACGGTTGCTACTGCACAGACTTATGTACACAGGTAAAATTAGCTAAATTTTCAGGAAATGTGCCATACATTTGCACAAGCATTTGCAGAACATTTCCTCACTATTGCCCAACATTTGCATTATTTACCATTTATTTAAAAACCCTTGCCTTATTTTACCAGTTATATTAAAATCACTAGATTAACTGTATGAGCTGTACAAGTTTATCATTTCAAAGTCAACAATCTTAAGTACCTACCCATAATAATTATTGTATGTCTGATTATTCTTCCCAAGAGTGATTCCCGCTAGATCATAAACTTTTGAACTTGGCTCTCCAAAATGTTTATACTGTCCTTACATAAGAGAAACTGTACCTAACTTTGTATGTTTTCATAAAAGTAATTTTTTTAATTTACTTCAGGCATTGCAAATCCTACCTATGAAGGGGTGGAAGAAAAATTAATTTTTCTACTCCCATACTTTAATTGATATATTAAAAAACATTTGCCACCTATACTTAAATGATATACTTATTGTTTCACGGGTGCCGAAAATGATGTCATACATGTGATTCTCTCTTCATTGCACTTAAAACGATAGAGACAAAAAAATTACATCATCAACATAAGTGGTGACAAATTAACAAATTAATATCGGTCCGTCAATATTGTCAATCAGTCATAAACGATTTTGGTTATTTACAGATCTCCAGTTTGAGATATTGCTGTGTGCACTGATCCATCTGCCAGAAAGACCATACACAAAACACCATAATAAAAACCTAGCTAGCTCTTTCCTTTACTTATTAACACGGCACAAAACTTTTCCCCAGCACAGAGGAGAGATTCGACTATGCTCTCAGTAAATCTGTTAACTTCTAACAGATGGTGGCAGTGGCGGCTGGTTCTAAAGGGCATAGGGGCTCGTGCCCACTCCAATCGCCAACATAAATGGAGGAAGTAAATTAGCATGTCAGTCAATAAATTATTTCTATTTGACATAAATTAATGTAACATTTTATAGCGCTAGGTATCAAACTTTCCTTTCGTTGAGTTTCAGCATGTCTACTACAATCTCGACCATCACTGAACAGAAATTCTCCTTTGCTTTATAGTTTCACGTTACCTTTAGTGCTGGCCCAAATTGAATTCGCTAGGTACTGAGTAGCCCAGATGACTGACTCATTTAGAACAAACGCGCGAGCCTCTTGAAAACAAGTATACAAGTTAATTCGGGCATATGCATAAATAGCATTACTTTAAATGTCTCAATTCAAGCCAACACTAAAAGTAACGTGAAACTATAAATCAACCGGCTTAACTCAGGTTAGCTCTTGACAAAAAGCTCCAAACCCGAGTATACTCGAGCTGTAACAGCGGTTAATAGCAGAATGGCCAGATAAGAAGGATATCCAGGACTACCGGTGGCACTGTGACCTTCGCCTCTGTTATGCCTAAACATTCCGTTCTATGTAGACATATTTTGGCGTGTTTAAAGTCAATAGAACTTAACTACGGAAAGATGATTATGCCGCTCAATTGTGATCATAAATACGCTTGAATTGGTACTGAAGTACAACGAATATTACTTTTTGTACTCCGTGGACTAAACCAATGTATTTTGTCTTCCATTTAAGGGACTAAAGTGACACTTTTTATCCCGAAAGGAGAAAAACGCGACGAGGGACAGAACACACTGAAATGTCAAACACAATTTAATGATTAATCGTTACCTTTATATGTACAATTTGGATATTGCACCAGATTTTATATGTATTATAATGTTTTCCATATATCTTTTTGATGAACAAATGAGACAAGTAGCAAAATGGTCATCTGTTACACTCACGTGAGGTGTGCTTAAGATTATTATCCATGTTGTACACTAACACGTTGTGCAAATTTTGTAGGTAAGGTGATAAAACGATAAGCAATATGTTATCTATTTTCTTTTTATTTATTTTATTTTTGTTTTTATTGTTAAGTGGGTGGAATTTCAGCCAAACCATTATACATTGTACCTATAATTACATTTACAAATTTCCATGCCTTTTTATTCCTTCTATTACTGGGCCAATCGATTTTTGAAAATTATTGTTTTAGATTTGCATGTTGTTATCGTATAGATGTAACCTGAGAAACACCAACCCTAACGGATTTTTTTTTAAATCATTCTGATAGTAATAACAATAACCTTCTTCCCAGTGGATCCGATAATTGAGAAGTTGACCCGACGCCACGTGAAATACACACAAACTTATATACATGATAATTTTTCAGAATTTATCGCCAGACAAACGCCTGCCAAAATGAACGCGATTGCGTGAATTTGGTCAAAGGCCCGTATGAATAAAAGTAAGCAAATGCTTATACTTGCAAAAATCAAAGTAAATACTCGTTAAGTGCCCCTTTATACTGATTTGTTTAGCAGCGCTGCACTGCGTCCTGTCCTTCTGCTTAGCAGCGCTGCTAAGTCGCCTAGTGCGAAGGAGCACTGACGAGTATTTACTTTGAACTTTGCAAGTATAAGCATTTGCTTACTTTTATTCATACGGGCCATTGACTAGTTTTGAAACGAGACAAAAACAAACTTCAAAAATGATTAATCAAACATATAAAAAGATACTAAATAGTGAAATTTTTTAAATATTCGAAATGGATCAAACCAATTTCGCCGCGATGTGCGCATTGATTACTGTAGAATTTCTTGCAGGAGAGAAGCCATATATGTGCGATGTTTGCCCAAAAGCATTTACTACAAATGGTCAGTTAATAAATCATCGAAGGCTGCATACTGGTGAAAGACCCTTCGCTTGTGATGTGTGCAGCAAAAGGTTCACCCAAAAAGTTGCTCATACAATACATATGATGACACATACAGGCAATAAGCCCCACCTTTGCAGTATATGTGGTAAAAAGTACTCGCAAAATAGTCAACTGATAGAACACATGCGTTCTCATACCGGCGAGACTTTACAGTGTAGTACATGCGGTAAGGGATATTCGACGGCTGGAAACTTAGCTGCTCATATGAAAACTCATTCCGGTATTAAATCACATGTTTGCAACGTATGCAATAAAGGATTTTACGTAGCAAATAAACTGGCAAAACATATGAGGACTCATACAGGTGAAAGACCTTACGCTTGTTCAGTGTGTCCTAAAAGGTTTACAAGTGCAGATGTAATGAAGATTCATGTACGGATTCATACTGGAGAAAGGCCGTACCGTTGTGAAATATGTGGAAAGGGATTCACAAACAATTCTCAGCTAACTGTTCATACGCGATCCCATATGGGTCAAAAGCCCTATGTGTGTAGTGTTTGTTGTCAGGGCTACACTACAGTTGCAGGACTGTCCTTGCACTCAAATACATGTACAAATGGTAGTCGTCGGTTGTCTGATACGTCTACGTTTGCAAACTACAAATAACAGTATTATCAATCGGTTGAGTTGCTTAGATATTATTTTTAGTTCTCACTAGCAAAACCAAGGAAGAGTCGAGATGTAACATTCACCTAAGTGATGTATGAAAATTAATTTAATCGACGAAGACAAATCGTGTAAATGAATGTTTTATTAAAACCGCATACCAATACAATTTACTGAACTATTTGTTCTCAATTGCAAGATGAAATAGTATTACATATGTATTCAATATTATATGTTGGTTAAATATTTACCTCCTTCCTAAAAACAATGTTTACTAAATATTTGAAAAATAATATACGATTCCTATATTTGTGATATTTATACAATATATATCACTGTAAAAATTGATTTTGGGAAAAAGTTAGTTATGCTACTTATGGTCATTGACTTTAATAATTGATGAAATGTGTAAATCCCAATTCCCTTTTATAATATGTAAATCTTTGTACCTACAGACAGAAAAAGTGTTCTAAAATCTGTTCTCATTTGCTCACACGTAGTGTGTCCCCATCTCATCCGACGGCCGACGCATCACGTGTTTGTTTACTTCTTGATTTATGTTGTACAGTGTTCTGTGTTTGTTTTTTCGTTGTTGACACATTTGGTTGATAATTTGTTAGTTGTTAGGTACTGCCACAGTCATTTGTGTTGGGTAGGTATTTGAGGCACGCTGAAAACTTGTCCAATGACCTACTTCTCCAATAATACCCAAACACAGAAATGCAGATTTGGCTGGGGAGAAGCGGGGCAGTTTGAAATTTTGATTACCTATAAATTTAATATTTCATGAGCAGAAAAATAAGTATGCCGGACCATTTAGTGGGGCTTACCTTAGTTAGACCATAATAGTACATGGATGGTCAAGGACATCGCCTGGGTATGTGAGTTTCAGGGTAAACGAATCTGTTCGAAGTTGTCCGAGTAGACACGATTTGAGACTGTCAACCTATCCTTATTTGTGGACGTATAGAAGGTAATCAGGAGTATTTAAAACTTCCCGTACTACGCGGTTACTATAAAAGCTACTCTTTAGGCGATCCGAGTGGTGTTTACACGACTTTAGTTTACCCTGAGATTCACATAGGTATACCCACGTACAACTATGGTGCCCTCTGTCCGTGACCACCCATTTTGTATTGAAAGCATAGGGCTAATAGCAGTCCATGTACTATATGGTCTAAGAATAAAACCCGCATCTTTTTCAATAATCTGCGATGCCATGGAATTTTCTAAAACAAAAAGATATCCAGTTATCAATTAGTAGCAGCTCGATAGTTATTTATGCAATGAGTGTATAAATGAGGCGTTTTATTGGTAAGTGAGATGAGAAATTCGAACGAACCAATAACCGCCGATTTATACATGAATTGCATACAACGTTTTTCGTCGACTTCACTGGGGTAGGTAATTTTAAATTCACTACTACAAGAAATTACAAACGAGATTATGAGCTACGATTTTTCACTAAATTACAGCTACTGTCGTTGCTATAGTAATGTGTTGTTTTATGCTGTGCCGTCAGTCCTCGTAATCGCAGTGGAAGATTATGTTGCTTGCTCTGCTGCGGAGGCGATTTTAACATTATATCCACTCAAATCAAAAGAAACTTATTGGAACGGTTTCGATCCGTTCGGTAATTGATGGAATACAATGAATTTGAAAGGAGGTATTTCCGAAAATGTCATGTTGACATTTTACCTTGAAAAGGTATGTGAAATTAGAATGTAATTACTTCTTTTGCAACTGTACTAAAGTAGGTACGTGTATTAACAGTGAAAGATATGGAAATGTTCATCCCTGTGGTCGACGTACTCAATGTTGAAGGTAAAGTAACTGAATACCTTAACAATACCTTATCCGAGAAGCTACACAGGATACCTATGCTTTGCGGAGATCGTTGGCGACCATACTGGCTGCTGATCTCACTACATTAAAACCTACATTAAAATGGTTAGGTGGATGGAAGTTCTCAGCTGTTGCCGAAAGTGAATTGTTATATAAATGTCATTTCCCTTTAATAAAATGGTTGTTATGTATAAGTTGTTGCTAACGATTAATGGTTGCTAACGTATAATGGTTTCTAACCATTAATGAGCTTGATTACTACACCCGTAACTAAGGTGTAATTTATGCTGTTATCGAGAGGTCGACGAAAATAGTACATTATATATCAAGGTAGAGAAGTACAGTATTATTGCCTGAGCACCAAGATTACATCTCGAGGCGCTTGCGCCGAGGGGTGTAAGGTGCGAAGGCAATAATAGACTTCTCTACCGTGGTATATATACTATTTTTTTCACTACTAGCACTTGAAGTCCTCTAAATTAACATATTATATTGATAAGAAAGTGAACGGTTGGACAGAATTTTTTGTTTCTTAATGTAACATGTCAATCAAGTACGTGGAAGTACAAGTCAAACAGGCCGTATTTTGTTCTGTCATTGAGATTTTTCAAAGAGTAATTTCGTTCGAATTTTTTCAAAATGTGATAATTTTAGGTATGTAATTTCTCTGGAAATTGCGAATGGTGGCAATTATTCGTTTTAGAGAACTTGTCTAAACGTTCATTGAGCGAAATTTCGGGTTGTGTTTTCTAAAAGTGACAGCGTGACAGTTCTCATTATTGACTACTAGTTAATAATCAAAAATTATTAACCACTTTGAACAAATGCCGAAAAAGCCTACTTTACAAGTGGAAAAAAGGTTAATAATCATGTCATCAGACGCTAGTAGTGAAAAAAATTGATTTTTTCTCCAACCACCTGAATAAGACGCTATTTTGTGACAGTGTTCGGTACGTAAAATTGACGTTTTGCGGATTAATCGCTTTCACCATGGCAACTGTACAAAAAGTGGATACTTTTGGTCCTAGTACCAAAAAGAAATTGACCTTGAAAGTTGGCCAATTAAAAAATTACAATCACGGAGATATGTCACATTGACATCGTTTTACATTGCAGGTTGTAAGATATTTCTATACATACAAATCAAATATTTTTGCATATTCAATGCAAATAATGATGTTACCTATACGTATGTACATGTATTGAAAATGATTTACGCTCGCTATTTTTATTTAAACCATGTGTAACGTCGTAATTTACATATTCGGTGAACGTAATTTTAATACGTATACAACCCGGCGTCGCGCGTAACGCCATCTACTTCAGACCCATTGCACTATTATCTGTCGTTTTGAATTCAAAATTTGAAAAAGTTAATTGCAATTAATTTTAATTAAAAAACTGTATGGTAAGTTCTTTATTTCAATACAAAATATAACAATATTAATTGTGTATACAATAGAAATGACTGAAACTGATAGCGACATGGATTGCACTCCGCCAGAGACTATAGAAACGGCAGAACATGCTACCTCAAGATTTGCTCCCTACAAAGTCGCGAGAGATGAGAAGTAAGAACGAATAGGTTATAAGTTCACCTAAAAACTAGAATGGCATGACACGTGAGGACAAGAAAGCAGAAATTCTTATACTAGTAGTGAAACTGACTGAATCTAAATTCGAATATAATTTGAAGTAAAGGGGGTTGGAGAAAAAATTTTATGTTTTATTCGTACAAAAAATGCGTTTTCGGGACTCGGAAGGTTGCTGGACTCCGCTGACGCGTCGTCCAGCAACTATCTTCCTCGTCCCGAAAACTGACATTTTTTGTACTAATGAAACAAATAACTATTATGATCGACTTGGTTACTGTCTTGCACTTAATGGTGACTTATTCGAACATTTATTGTAAATTGTTATATTAGGAAACCGTTTTTAGTAATTTGGTCTTTCTTTATTATGTTGAATTCGCTGTTCTAAATATAATACTTTTGCATAGAATTTGATTTGTTTTATAGCAGACATTCCATTCGCATGTTATGAATTTTACATTGAAATCCCTATGATGCGTTACGCAAGTCACCACCCTGTATGTACTACAGGGTAACATCTAGACACAGGGTAGGTAACATACAATTGGTGTACCCGTACCATGATTTACTTTTTTCGGATGACAAACATTTAAACTAAAAATTATAAAGTTAATTTTATTAAAACTCGACTAGACTAGAGAAAATTGTTCAGTGTACAAATACGTAGAAAATAAATACTTCTAATACTCTGGATTTTTGCAAACTGGTAAAAGACACAGTATTCCAAACAGAATTTCGGCCATTTGAAATACAAACTGAATCCCGCATATTATATACTCCAACCGTAACACAACACTCTGCCAGAAAACAAAGTAAACTACACCCACTGCTGATGGTATTGTCAGTGATAAAGCCAATATCACCGGCCAGGCTACAAATTAGGAAGTTAGTTCAAACAAATGTATGTGTTTAGTACTATACCTTTCTCAGTTAGATTTCCTCGTCTTGCCAATATAACTCGAAACAATTCCAATATGCATACGGCCAGTAAAATTCCAAAATCGGTCTCAAAATTTGGCAGCGATAAATTAATTGCTTTTACAACATTCATACCTATTTCACATACTGCAAATAATCCAAAGTAATACGAATTTAAATATAACAAAACTTCAAAAGTTAACGAAGCATTCATTACGAATTATAAAGCCATCATTCAATTACTGTTGCTAATTTTCTTTTTTGGTATTATTTTATCAACGCGTATTTGTAAACAAAGTCCTACTGGTTGATGGCCTGTGCTGTGAACAAAGTTATTGATTTGATTTTTAAACAACTTCTGAAACGACATCTATGATGTCTAACGATATATGGTTACAATTCGTTTATGCAGCGACATCTGTTTTTGGAATATTGAACATAATTTGCAGATGTGTTGCATATTGACTCCCTCGGTACTGCGCAAACGCAAGCGCGCTAAAATTTGAATTTGCGTACAAGGGTAAGGTAAATATAACCAGCAAACGTTATAATTGAAGATAATTTAGCTTACCTGCTTACCTATTGTAAGTAGGTTATGTAGGTATACGTATATTTAATGCCATGTTATCAAGATGATTTTTGTTGTTATCTACATTTCAAGTAAATGGCGAGGAATTCCTAGACTAGAATATGCCACAGGCGATAGAAAGAAAAACTATCTCGGTAAGTACTGTAACAGTTAATTAGAAATAGTTAATGAAATCTACTTACAGCAATAACGTTACAGACCAATATTGACCGACGGTAGAGAGAGAGTTGCGTGCTAAACAAATCACAAAAAACCAGACTACAAGCTACTGAAATGATCAAGTACTTGCGAAGGGTAAGGGGAGTTGGTGGAATTCCTAGTAAGAAGATAAAAAAAAAGTGGGTGCTCAGTGTTTGATAGACAAAAATTAAAACGCTTATTTGGACGCCTTGGTCGAATTGAAAACAGTCGGCTGGTGAATCACATATGGAACACCGGAATTCAAAATAGGAAGAAAAGGGGAAGCATGAAGACAACATGGGATATGTACTTAAGTAGCAAGAATACTTCAAGATCAAGGCATAGAATGAGAGGAGGCTAAAGGCCCATACTTTTCTCTTCTTGAAATCCATTCTCACACTTCTTTTGTTTCACATTATTGCATAAAACTACAGCCGCAGCAACACAAAGATGTGCTATTGGTACCATAACGTTTGATAAGTTCTCGAAAACAACTGCTAGGTATCAACCAGTATTTGTGGAAGCTAAAAGTGCTGCTAGTGTAAACAGCTTTGTGAGAACTTGCGACAGCAATGGTTCACCCAACTTGCCCGACAGTTTATCGCAACACTTATTGCTCACAGTGTAAATACATGGGGAAGTTTCTCCAGTGAGATTGTCGCAAATAACTTGCATAGTCTATCTGCGCCTTAAAAAGTTAACGCGAGGTAGGAAAAATGGAGCACCATAGTTTATAGCTTGGTTTATAATGACTTATCTGGTAGAATATGTTAATTTAGTTTCCGTACACCATGATGGTAGAAGGGTTTTGACTTTTGATTATAATAAATACCTAATAACGTTACAATTCTTGTTGTTTATTCCATATTTAGCTGTAAAGGATCGTGACGGTTGCTTTCAAGTTGGGGCTATAATGTAACTGGAATTCACAGTGATGACCGAAGGCTTATTAATTTCGAGCGCGTTAAAGCAATTTAAGCGCGCTTGCGTTTGCGCAGTACCAAGGGAGTCAATATGAAACACATCTGCAAGTATTACACGTAAGGTGATGGATCAAAGAAAGATAATCTACTTGAAAAATGAAAATAGCATATAATATGGAAAATCAAACAAACGTAACCTCAAAAGAGTGGTAAACATTAACATAAAAATTGGGGAAGACCCTTATCCATTTAAAATGGACCGAAGTAACAATCTTCACCAGTCAACAAATACTCAACACGATTTATATTTACAAGAAATCGAAGGTATCGATGACTACTGGGGGCCCACATTCAGGTAAATTCCACAAATGCAACTAGCTTGCTAGTTTTGGTTATTGTAGAGCAATTTATGACAATGACGAGCATGCTTTCTTCCAAGAAAAGTTAGAACAACGTATTAGGTATCATGACAAAGACATCGAAAGGCTATGCAATGTGTACTATCAAGGTTTTATCGATTCAATAAGAGAGTTACTGGAAGTGCGTTCTCAAGCCAAAAAGCTCAATGTAACCATTTATTCAATCATTCCTCTGCTTAATCTTTGTGTTTTTAGACTGAAGTGTGCACACTTGACAATCAATTACAACATGCCGCTGAAAGTATATCAAAGTCAGGTGCGGAATTGGTACAGGCTCGTAAGGTTCAAAGTAATATAGCTGTAGTGGTCGCCCAGTTAAATCTCTGTCTTCCTGTCTTGACGACTTACTCAAAGTTAAAAAAGCAAATATCTGAGAAAAGGTATTTCAAAGGATGTTATTCTGCGACTTTAAACTTGGTTCCGTAGATATTATCCTGCTCTGAAAACTTTGGAGGAGTTAGAACATTTGCATTTACCGCATGTTGCCAGTTATCGATTTTCACTACAATTGCGTGAGAGCATACCAAAGTAAGCACTGACACATTTGCGCTGGTCAATAACTCAAAATTTTTTCAGGATTCGTGAAAGTATCGAAACTGCGTCTATGTCAGATTTGAAGGACTTTTTAGAGAATATTAGGCGATTTTCCCCCAAGATTGGAGAAGTTGCTATGAGACATGTAGGTTCTGATCTCATAAAGGTTACCCTTAGGGTGGAATTCATAGATATTACCTCGGATATTACTTAAGTTTACTTTACTAAGTGCACACTTAGTTTAGTTTAAGTGCAACTTATATTTAGTGCTAGTATTCGTGCTTAACTGTCCGTATTCCGCACGTTACTATAGCAATAATGTCATGTCACCTTAGCAATTATATCTGTGTATACCACTAATGCACCCAAGGATGCTATATAATAAGGATTGCTCAATCCATATACTTGTAATGTTGCCCGCGTTAAGTCATATGTGACGTCACCAACGGATCTGGCTGTCAGAATTGACAGTTATAATTTGCTAAGTTGTAAACGTTTTTGCATTAGCTGTATTTGTTTCAAGTGATTTAACTGAGTTAAATCAGTTTCAGTGATTTCTTTCGTTTACAATCTTAGACCATATAGCCATGTACTATACGGTCTAGAATTGTAAACGAAAAAAAAATAATAATAATAATAATGTCTTTTATTAGTTACACATCTTGCAACAAAATTTATAACAGAAAAAAAAATTATATTTATTGTATAACTAATTGGGCGAAGTTCAGATGACAGTAGTGAAACCAACTGCCTCTGCTCTTCCACTTAACCCAGTATATTACTTACATTATAAAGGGATGACAGATGGCTTCTAATTATAAATAATAAAAACTAAATAATGAAAATTATTGTTGACCAGTGCGGTACAAAAATTATGAAATGATTATGGACGTAACGAGAATGATATTAAATAGGATTACTTAACAAAGTGCAATCACTTAAACTGATTTAACTTAGTTAAATCACTTGAAACGAATACAGCTATTGTCTCAATAATCGTTGCCATGGAATTTAAGGTGGAATATTTAAATATTTACAATGATTTATTACAGTTTCATTTTTTAGCGCTTTTTTTAAAAAAAAGTAGCGTTTATATATTCACTTTGCCTGTTCAGTAGGTCGGCTGCAAAGGTTTTTTAAGTGTAACTCTCTAAGGAATCATCGTAGAATGCTTGAGTTGGAAGCATTAGCTTTGTGTCACAATTTTTTGCATGCAGATTATATTTCAAACTGTAGCATAAAATGAGTTTGCTAATAAAACCTCGATCCGTCGCACAAAATGCGCTTAGGCAGCTTGACGCATCGAGCACTTTCCAAATTGTTTCCTTTTTTTTTGTAGACAAATGAGCAATTGGCGAACGATCCCACTTTGGTAGGCAGGAAAAAGAAGCGGATTGCTCCAAAGCCTCCCGGTAGGTTACGCAACGTAAAACAGTTCACGACAATTTCTGAAGTTTGTAGGATCTGAACATCAGTTTCCCGAAGATGAGCTCAGCGCTCAAGAAATGATAGACTTTTCGCCAATCTACCGCTGTTTACATATTTCAACAGTTCTAGGATCGAGATCAACATTTGAATCCTACTATAGAGCTGAACGAACGAAGCAGGCGCGTTTGGTGTTACAGCCACCAACTAATATGGTTTGTTAGCGTGATTTTTATTCATGTTTCAATTCACATTTGTAGCATGAATCTTTGGAGAGTTATCGACTGTATATTCACGCTGTGTTAGGGTTTTTTATCTTGGAGGATCATGTGCTTAATACAGCAAGTGGGCTAATTACCAGAGCGTTTTTAGATGAAATGTGGACAATGGCGTTGACAAAGATCACGACTGCCCTTCAAACACATTCTGTTAGTATTAGTCTGTTCCTGTATTGACATTGTATTGCTATATTCAGGCCTACTGCACCGACGCAACCCTAATATTGCGAATTAAGGATTTAATAATGCTCTTTTGTACAACCTTAAGAAACTACGGATACACAGTGAAACCACTGTGGGAGTTGGTTCGCGAATTGCGTGATCATTATACGGAGGTTTTAATGCAACGTTGGGTGCAGATATTTCGAGAAATACTCTCATCTGAACGTTTTCGACCGATTGAAATTGATACACAAGAAGAATACGACATAATACTGTCATCTTTTCCTTTAGACATTGATGTGGCAGATGACATTGCGTTCCCTTACAGCTTTGCATTTTCATCGATGGTTCCTAAAGTGTATCAGCAGGTAAAGGAGTTCATTTATGCGTGTCTCAAATTTTCAGAAGACTTAAATTTAAGGTTTGTGTTATAAACTGTTTCTTTTGCTAACTGTGTGTTTGTAGTCAGGTAGAAGTAGATGAAATGATTCGTAAATCTATGAATTTATTGTTAACGAGGAGTTTTAGTGGTTGTCTTTCATCAACTTTTCGTTGTCCACACGTAAATTTACAGGAAATTATTCAAATTATTGTGGATACAAGTTATCTTGAGGAAGCCACTGTGTATTTAGATCAATTCATTTCTAATATAACAGGGTAGGAATTGTTTTGATGTTCTTAAGAGAATTTGATGTCTGGTATATATTATTACAGTGAGACATCTCATGGTGTAAAGACGGGAGTTGTACAAGGACAGCCTGCACTATTTCGTGTAGCAAGGGAGGACGCCGTACGTCAGATATGCGAAAAGCTGCAGCAGAAGTTGAAGGAGTTTTTAGAATTGGAAGCGTACGATTGGTTATTAGTAGAACCTCAAGGTCACGCATCCAGTTTTGTAACAGATCTAATTGCCTTTTTACAAACAACGTTTAGAAGCTTTACCAATTTACCTGTAAGTATTACGCAAGGATAACAGTATACGTATATGGTAACTTCTTCTCACCAATTCCAGAATCCTAGGATTGGTTAGACGCAGTCCTCCACCCTTTCCTATCCTGCGCTAATTTTTAACTACCTTTGCCTATGTAACATCAAGTAGCAATTATACATAGTCTGTTGTAATACCCAGTCAGAATCCTTTTCACTTTTAAATTTAACTTAAAAGGTCGATTTTAATCATCAAGTTTCAACACATTGAATTATTTGACATGATAAATTATGTATCACAACAGAACATCATTCGTTACATTCTCCCCCTTAGGATGGAGCAATCGTCTTACAGTCCGAGGCGACATCCTACTCATAGACGTTAAAATCTGTTGAATTCATGGCGAACAGGATGCTCGGGAGGGGATCTTTCCATGCAGTGTGTGATTCCGTCATGAGTATTGCAAGTTGATATATTTAATGTCCTGATTATTTCGCTAGACGGAGTTTGCTTCAGGGTGGTAGGATGGAGTGAGCATGAAATGAAAACTTCCGAAAGGTGATGTGAAAGGAGTCTACTCGCGATCTCCTTCACCGGTACATGCCAATAATCGGACGATAAGTCTAGCGTAGTCATATGTTTCGTCTTTTTGGCGGCTTGCAACAGCTCGTCGATGCGCGGTAACGGATAACGATCGGGGATTATAACGGCGTTAATGTTTCGGTAATGAATACTACAGTGACTTTATAGAGACAGTGGCGACAACAGGGTATCTCGTTTTTGATTGGTCGTTGGTTCCGGTCGCCATATTGGAGCTAAATTCCAAACTGGCCAATAGAAAACCTTCAAAACGACGCGGTACACTCCGTGCTATAATTATTAATTATACTGTTTTGACAGTGTCACCTGTAATTGTCACGGCTTCATGTTACTAGTTTACACTTTGCTTCTTGTATTTGCTTTATTTTACGTTTTCCGTCTCCAGTTTTATATAAACTCGATTTTTAAAGACGCATATAGTTTGGATTTATTACGATATTATAAGGTATGTAATCCGCTTAGTGTTTTTAGATGTAAAACTGTGCCTAACCTTACGACTGGTAATTGATGTAAAATTTTTTTCAGAAGCCCTAAATACCTAATGAGTTTAGATAGAAAACTGGTTAGAGAAGCAGCTTATCCGAAATTTAGCAGCAAATTCAATTGTGATCGTAAATACGCTTGAATTGGTTTCATGTTTGCTGGAGCACATGGAATATTGATCTCTTGTACTCCGTGGACTAGATCAACGTGTTTTGTCTTCCATTTAAGAGACTAAAGAAATACTTTTAAGTCTGGAAGGAGCAACACGCGACAGGGGACAAGAAGTGACAGAAGACACTGAAATGTCAAACACAATTTAATGATTATTTATATGTACATTTTGGATATTGCACCATATGTCATACTTATTATACCGTTTTCCATATACCCATACCTTTTTGAATTTGGGAGGCATTTGTTTTCCCATAGGTTGTTCTGCAAAGCTTTAAACGATCATTTCTGCGCCGTTCGTTTTGAACAAGAATCTTTACTTAAATGAAACTGACATTTATTATTCTACGCTCACAATTTGACATGACAAGGTATATTGATCTTACAATCAATTTTTTAGCTCCAATATGGCGGATTATGATAAGTTGTCGCCACTGTCCTTATAAAGTCACTGTAATGAATACACGCGATAGGAACCAAAACCATGGCTACACCAAAAGGAGATTTGCATGGCTTGCTGATCTCTGCTGCGAGCATGCGTTCAAGCTCTCCTTTTAAAATTTTCTTTTTCCCAGGTGACATTGTGTAGGGTGATACAGCAATTGACTTCTCCTCGGTTACTGTAATAGCGTGCTTAGCATATGGGATAGCCTTGGGTCGTTCTAAAAAGACATCCGCAAATTCACTCAGTAATGAATTGATGAGCCACGTCAGTTAGCGTTCAACTTCCTCTATCAAGAACGCGTACCGTTTTCCTGGGTCATTTGAAAAGCACCACTTGTTTTGTGAAAGGTGCACTCCACAACGTGCCACTGTTCTTGAAGGCCAGGATTGCGAGAAGGGACGTAGGGATTTTCAGTAAAGTTCAATCGTTACGTGGATTTTTTTTACGTTGACATTACATTCATTCCCATCATCAAATTTGATTGTTAATTTTCTATCCTCAATGGGTTCCCCAAGGGACGTTAAAAGTTTGTACAATTGGGCGCAGGTGATGTTGGTTTTTGGGCCCGTGGTAAGACAGGCCGATCCACAAAACTGTCGAATATTAAAAGTCGTCATAAATCATGAAGATGACGCTTTGACTTTGGATCGACGTCGCTATCAGCGCACTTCCTTGGTCGACGAATTAAGTTGCGGTTCCGCAAATTATACGACATTAACTAGCGCGTGTGTTGCTCCACTGTCTTCGGCAGTCCTCGTGCAGTGACTGATGCAATCAGAATTAGATTGAAAAATGAAGCGCGTGGGGTGGAATACACGAAAGTGAATAGTAATGATTACCGAAATGATGATTTGGTTAGTACGAATTTTTATATAATCGAACAATAATTGTACTTACATAATGCGCATTTCGGCGTTGTTTTGGTTTGTCAGTGAAAGAAGCTGCTCTTTACAGAATTTTAGTTTACCTTGAGATTCACATACCCAAGACTACAGTGCCCTCTATCCGTGACCACCCATTTTGTATTGAAAGCATAGGGCTAATAGCAGTCCATGTACTGTATGGTCTTACATCTTATTTTATTATAATATTAGTAAACTACTATTACTATTATTTACTATTCGTAAAATTAGTAAAGTACTTATTAATCTACTAGAACTACTGAAATGTAACGTATGAATTCCTGTATTCCTATGAATTTTAAATGTAATGTAATTATTTAAATCAAATATAAATATACACACTTCCATTTTTGTAGCCGGAAGTAGCACAAGTTGCATGTAAATCGGCATGTGACTATATAGCAAATTCAATGCTCGAACTATTGCTAAACGAAGAAGTTAAACAAATTTCAATGGGAGCGCTAAACCAAATCAATTTGGACTTATTACAATGCGAGCGTAAGTATTGCGAGCGTCTCTGTAGACATTCGTCCAATCTGTTGCAGAATTTGCTGCTTCGGAACCAGTAAAAGGCCTGCAGGAAGATGTCCTTCTGGCGTACTTCACCAAATTACGAGAAGTTCTAGATCTTTTCATATCGTGGGAGTGGCCGGCTTATTTTCATGATTATGGCCAAGACACAAACAAATATAAACAAGTTAATCCTGAGATCGCAATTATTATTCTTGAAAAGTAAGCATTAATTTGAATTTTAAACGACTAATATACTAATTGTATTTAGATTGAGGGAAGCAGATAAGAAGACCATGTTTACTGTGCTTAAAAAAAGCGAACGCGATAAAAAGAAATTATTGGAAACGGTTTTAAAACAACTACGTCAATTATCCCAAATGCCACCGGGAAAGAATTAGATTGTAATTAGCGATGTATCTGTTCATTAAATATTTAAAGTACTGCTCATAATAATAAAATATTTATCGTATGTATTCTACTCACATCTGGTTTAAAAATGAAAGACGTAACATGTAAAAGGCTTTGCTTACCAAAAATCAAAGATCTGTACGATGTAATTTCTCCAGTTTTTGTTGTTTCCAAAATTTTAGGCTTAGCTCCATTTCGATTTGATAACTCTACACGTCGTTACATTCCACATTGTGGATCTTTTATTGGTATACGATTTGGCATGGTGATCGGGTTGATGGTGTAAGTAGGAAAATTATGACTGCTAAAAAAGTCATTTGGAAGCTTTTAGGTACGTTGCTGTTTTAGTATACGATCCGAATTCGTCCATTAATATTGGATGGTTGGCTTTACATTTTGAAATATACTTGGGTACAATGATCACGGGTATCATACTGATTTTGGCTGTGGCAAACCAAAAGTTATTAATCCCAGCTATCGAGAGCCTTATCTCGATCGATAAGGCAATGAAGCAAATTGGAATAAATGTCACTTACAAGAATGCTCAGAAATTTGCGTATTCCCAAATTAGTTTCATATGCTGCATATTTTCATCTAAGTTAATTTTACAAGCATTTGCTACCCCAAAGAATAAATTTGTGTACAACGTTTTCAATGTTGTAGATTTTATGAACACAATAATGATGTTTCAGTATGTGGATATATTACTATTACTACGCCAGAGGTACATTTGGTTAAATAGAAAAATTCGTTCTTTGTCACAAGCAAGTTATGGACAGTATCACTGTTTAGTTGTTCCCAAGCAATGTTTCGCACAGGAAAACGTCCAGTATATTCCGACGAAGAAATTGATACGTTGCATCGGAAAACTTCACCGTGATCTATACAGGACGGCAAAAATTATTAATCGTACATACGGCGTACAAATTTTAGTAACGATCAGTGCAAGATTTGTTATGATCACAACACAATTAATCAATCTGTATAAGACTATTCAAGATCCAAATCAAGGCAGTGTTAACACGTATGGATTATTAGGCGTATACTTATTTTTGCACTGTTCAAAAGTATTTATGCTTTGTAGTATTGGAGAAAACACTGCTAGCAAGGTAAAATCAACGTTAGAAACTTAAGACTTTTTGTATACCCTTAGGCAAGAGACACAGGTGTCTACCTGCATACATTGTGGGATCCTGACGACGCCATAAAAGAGGAGGTAAAATCATTTTCTAAATCTTCCCTTACTTATAATAATATTGCAGGTCAACTTTATGTCGTTGCAAATTTTGCACCAGAATTTACATTTCACTGCTGCTGGGTTCTTTACTCTCGATTATACTTTAATTCACTCGGTATATGTTACTTGCATTCTATACGCCAAACTGATGACATACCTATTCTAGATTGTGGGAGCAGTGACTACGTACATGATTATTATTATTCAATTTGATGTTAACACAAAAAACTAATTGACCAGCAAGTTATGACGCGCATTGAAGAGACAGTTTATATAGGTACTTGCAGTAGATATAATAGGTACCAATCATGTTTCTTTTTATCTGTAACTCGCACTGGAATTGAGATTGTGATTAAAATTACAGATTCCTGCATTAAATTTCGACTTCAAAATAGCACCTTGATATCATTTTTAGAAATTGAAATATTTGGGTTTGCAGTTATTGTTTTAGGGTCAATCCATTTGAAATCACCCACCATGTGATCGCCATTTGAAAAAATTTTATAAGCCATGGTTTTTTGAGGTAGCCATTTCTAAAATGAACTGAATTGGTAGGTATATAAGTGGATGTTGGACAGCTATGACTTGTTCATTTAATTTAAAAAGCAATACGTTCACTGAATTAATAAATCATTATTCATTATACAATTATGTTACATCTAAAGCGCAATTTAAATTTTGGTATGTACATTCATGTGCTTTTTAAGGTAGGACTTTTCTAAAAATCCCTTACTACAAATATTGCATATATGACATCGATCACCTTTATGAATTCTCTCGTGCACCTGTAAATTGTATAAGTTATTAAACGCTTTTGCGCACACGCTGCACACAAAAGGTTTTAATCCTGAATGCACAAGCAGATGTTGACGAAGTTGTGGTTTACCCACGAACCTTTTATTGCACTGATTGCATTGGAAAGGCTTCTCTCCATTATGTCGCATCATGTGATTGTAAATGTTAGAAACGTAATTCCCGCAAACCGAGCACAGTACTTTGGCACCTTTTAATTTGTGAATATTTCTATTGTGATTATATAATCCACTTGAATGCTTGAACACTTTACTGCATACCTGAAAAGTACCATTTTAATGTAAGCACACCTTATAGTCGCACTTACCTTGCACGGGTATCGAATATTTGCACTTTGTTCGACAGGGACACACATGTGCTCTTGTAAACTTGCACGATCTCGAAATGACTTAAGACAATGGTTACATTTACAAACCTTATATTTAACGGAATAGGTAACATTCTCCGTGTGCATTATTTTGTGACGATTCAGATGTTCAGGGTTAGAAAAACGTTTTAGACAGAAGCTGCACTCGTGTGGCAATTCCTGATTTGTGTTGTGAGTCAGCATATGGCACTCGTAGTTCTTTTGAATCACAAATCCCTTACCGCACTGTTCACATTTAAACGGGCACTCTTTTAAATGTTTCACCCTGTGAGTGTTTAGGTGATTTAGTTTCTTAAACACACGTTGGCACTGGTCACATTTAAATTCAGTTTGATTTCGATGCAATTGTAGGTGTATACGAAGTTGACTAGCGTTACATTGGAACTGGCATGCAACACATTTATGTACTTTGTCTTTAAGACTGTGGAGCCCTACTGTGACGTTATTCGGGTTAAATTTTCTGTAAAATTGGACTGTGGGCAAAATTCTATACTTTGCAGGAATATTAAGATACTTTCTTAAAGCTTTGTGAGTGTGTGCGTGCTGTCTCAAGTCTAATGCGCTAAATTCTTTGGTGCATATGGGGCACGGATGCAGAGAATGATCACTTGAGCTCTTTTCGTCCTCGCCCTCTCCAAATTCAGTCTTTGGTTTACGTCCACGTTTTTTGCACACTCTTGAGTTTGTGCGTTTATGAATTTGTTGTTTACTCGTTTGTCTTTTACCGTACTGCTCATTTTGGGTTTTTGTAATGGCGTCGATATAGTTTTCGGTTACATTTGTCTCGTAAGTCAGTTCAGCAGTATTTGGTACATAATCAAATACAGAGTCAGTGTGAACTTCTTGTTTTACATGGCAGGCTGTCAGATATTGTTGTAATATGGAATTGGAATGCTGGAATTGTATTTGGAACTTATAGGCGCCAAGAATAAGCAGAACACAATTTGAACAAAGCAGCGTGGGAAAGCCTTCCGATACTGATATCTACAACATAATGGTTAACGCTTCTATGCGAAAAGATTGAAACGCTATATTACAGGTACACTCGTGATTTTTTTTAAAATATCCCAGAAATTACAACCGCTCTCTTCCAGGGCTTCATTTTCTTCAAGAGTACTGAAGATAGATCTCATACTAGCACTCTCCGTTAAACAAATTCTACAAACTCTACTTATGTTTATAAATAAAATGCTATTAAAAGCAGACATCGCTTCTGTTTGAATTATTTACATTTAACAAGAAAACGTTATTTAGCATGTCATAAATATGTTAACCTACAAATTATTTCTGAAATCACTTGAACTACTATTGGAGTACAATAAAACTAATTGCCATATTTTGAGTTCTTTGAACTATTCCCTTCCGACCATCTTTGACAAGAGAAATAATAATAAATAGGTTAGAAATAAAATACACGAGTTACGCATAGACATATGATTTTACGTGAACGAAATTAATAAATACGTTACTGAGGCATATTCCTAATAAATAAAGCACGATGGCGTTGGCAATGCAAAGAAAGGCTAACGTAAGTACCATCATTTAGCATTCAAGTGTAATTGATTCTTCCAGGTTCGTTTGCCACCCGAAATCAACCGTATCTTATACATTCGCAACTTACCTTACAAAATAACGGGAGAAGAGATGTACGATATATTCGGCAAATACGGCGCGATTCGTCAAATACGGGTGGGCAACACTCCCGAAACACGGGGAACGGCATTTGTTGTATATGAAGATATATTTGATGCAAAAAATGCTTGCGATCATCTTTCAGGATTTAATGTGTGTAATCGTTATCTTGTGGTTTTGTACTATCAAGCTAGTAAAGCGTTTAAAAAGACAGATATTGAGAAGAAGGCGGAAGAAATTGAAAAAATGAAATCAAAGTATGGGTTAAATTCGTAGATGATCATCCAAAAGCTTTTAAACATTATGGTGTAGGTACATTATAATTTTGTATTATTAAATTTATGATTCCTTGAATAAGTGTTTACAGTCTTGTAGCACCACTACCCAAAAAATAAACACATTAAAGGGGCAGTATACCCAAATTTCATGTTTTCGTCTAAAAATAGATTAAAAATATCTAAGAGTAACGGTGAAAACCGCAAGTCGCTATGCCGTTTCGTTATTAAATGGCAAGGTGTCGAATGTAAATAACGGTCGCGTGTGACGTCATCCCGACAAATGGGTCGGTGGCGCGCTATAGTAATATATGAGTGCTACTAGATTCGATGACGTTTGATGTGTTAATTTGAGACTGGTAGTCAGTGATCTGCATTATTTTCAAAAATACCTAACTTTGTGTTTTCTGCTGCAACAATAATTTGAAAAATACCAATGTTACATTGCAAATTTTCCCCGAGAAGAGAAGGAGCCGTGTCGAAATAAAGTCTGGAAAAGTAGAAAAAACCGCTGAATCATAGTATAGTCACGTCGTTTGCAGTGATCACTTTAAAGATGATGATTTTTTTGGAAGGTACAAGAAGGAAAGGACCCTGTGCCTCAACATAAAGTTTTGAGAAGGCTAATACTGCAATCCCTTCTTTATTACATCTCACAAGGTCGTAATAAATCTACAAAACATCAGTCAACTTATCTAAGAAAGTTTCAAATTAGATTGTGTCTGATTGGTTATTGTGGGTAAACGATCAATTTGGCTATTTGTTATGGCTGTGAATTCACAGTCACACTCGCCAATATGAAGGAAATAGATGGACGCTGGGAAAAAGTCTATCCTAAGAATCATTGCAGTCAATCGTACGTCACTATAGGATGATAGACAGGGAAAACTGTTTCAATTTTCATAGCTATACACACGAAACTCATGCTCAGAACAATTATTGGTCTTCCTTCTGGTTGATATTCACTATTCACTTTTGCCCCTCGTACAAAAAATGACATGCAATACACCATGCACAAAAGGAATAATCCTACCTTATGAGAGTGCCTTTCTGCAATCTGTAACAAAGAGAAGATTTACGTTAGAAATGATATTAAAATATGTATAGTTTAAAACAATTGAACATTTTCACTAGGACAGTAGTCAAGCGTTTGTTTGTTTGACCGTTTTCTTAAAGAAATTGAGCAATAAACACTGGCAATAAAAAGGAATGGACACTTACCCTTTAGCCTCAATAATTCAGTCTGTCCTGGGAAGAACCATATCAACCAAAGTATAATGATGAAACACTGCACACTTCCCCGGCACTCCTCGTTCGTCAAGAACTGAAAAGTAAAATATAATCAATCGCAATATGAGAAAATGATCATTTTTGTTTTGTGGTTTTTGAAAACACACTGTAAACGTTAAAATAATTGTAGGTATATGTTAATGCCATGTTATCATTGACAACCGCAAATATAGAGATTGTTGCAGAACATCCTTCACCAAACTTAACATCCTTACACTCCCATGTATATATATATTTACCTGTCTAACACACGCAAAGAAGGCCCTTCCAACCCTTCGTAAAAACAGTGATAAATGTCATTACAATGTGCGGACTAAAAACAACCTTGTCGAAGACTACTATCGGACGGTAAAAGGACGAGACATTAACTATTTCATGAAGAAATGTTACAATACTCTTCCTGACTACATCAGGGATCTGGAAGAACAACAATTCAGAAAAACAACCAGAGTGTTCCTTGGTGCCAAAGCATTCTATAGCATCGATGAGTACTTGAACTACAAGTTTGATGGCTCCGAATAATAAAGTGGCAATTGTGCTTCCCTATACTGTGACGTGTGGAAATATTTTCTGTATAAACCCCACCAATAAATATTATTATTATTATTATTATTATTATGAAGATGAATTTGGTTATCTACATTTCAAGTACATGGCTATGAATTTCTCGAGGAATGCCTAGAATATGCCAAAGGCGATAGGAAACTGTTTCCGTAAGTACTGTAACAGTTAATTAGAAATAGTTAATGAAATCTACTTACAGCAATAACTTTACAGACCAATTATTGACCTATAGTAGAGAGAGAGTTGGGTGCTGAACGAATCACAAAAAACCAGACTACAAGCTACTGAAATGAAGTACTTGCGAAGGGTACGGGGGGTTGGTGGAATTCCTAGTAAGATTATAAAAAAAGAAGTGGATGCTCTGATAGAGACATTTGATAGACAAAAATTAAAACGCTTATTTGGACGCCTTGGAGGAATGGAAAACAGTCAGCTTGCGAAACCGTACATATGGAACACTGGAATTCAAAATAGGAAGAAAAGGGGAAGCATAAAGACAATATGGGATATGCACCTAAGTAGCAAGAATACTTCAACATCAAAGCATAGAATGGGAGGAGGCTAATGGTGCCTCTAGACTAGAAAGAAATGAAGTCAACTATTTATCATTTTTACGGACTTACTTTAAGTGTAAATATGCGAATAAAATTTATATTATCGTTGCGACATTATTCAACAGCTAAAGTGGTTTGAATTTGCAAGTACAGAAATATCGGGCGATCAAAAATGAGGTGCTGTCGAGTCGCCTTTGGAAGTTCAATTTAAGTACGATTTCCGATGTAAACAAAACAAGTGCCTTGACAGCAATGCATTTTTAATTGCAGGGTCAATAGTATACTTGAAAGAATGGGAGAAAACCCGAAAGGAGATTGAGATACAAACTCACAATTCCGAGCAGGTTTTCCATGTTTGTGAATTTCCTCCATTTAAGAAACACCTACTGAAATAAAATAAATGTACGTTGCAGCGTTGAGTTTGAACTAGTATTACAAGATAAATTGATCCGGATCGTTCCAACAGGTTGTGAAGGTAAAGAATTTTTACATCTGCTACCGATTATTGGCATTGGACGGTAATAAAAATCTACCTTATACTCCAAAAGTCTACGATGCGGATGTTGTTATATTTACGAGGAAGGTAGTAAAAAAAGTTTATAGCTTGGTTTATAGTGACTTATCTGGTAGAATATGTTAATTTATTTTCCGTACACCATGATGATAGAAGGGTTTTGATTATAATAAATACCTAATAACGTTACAATTCTTGTTGTTTATTACATATTTAGCTGTAAAGGATCGTGACGGTTGCTTTCAAGTTGGGGCTATAATGTAACTGGAATTCACAGTGATGACCGAAGGCTTTATTAATTTCGAGTGCGTTAAATGAAATTCAAATTTAAGCGCGCTTGCGTATGCGCAGTACCTAGAGAGTCAATGTGCACGGTACTATCCGGGAAGCCGTTCGTATTTTCTTTTAAGAAAAACGTAGATTGTAGACCGGGATCAGGTGTTCAGTGTGACGGGCAATCTTTCATGGCGGGAGGTTTATTTGAAATAGTATATTTGCAACTTTTAATAACAGTGGTGTTCCCCAGATAGCGCAACTTGTCGTTTCAAATCATTATAAAATAAATGAAAAACATAAACAAATTATTTAATTTGAATTTAGGGAATATAATTACGTGTTCATTGAACGTTAACGGATAGAAGTTAACGTTCAAATTTGCTATATAGATTTTTGTTGAAAATGTAAATAGAGAGTGCGCATGTCCTTATATGCGATGCCAAAAGGTGAATGGTGGCCACTACAGCATGTACACAAAACACAACTACTCGTACGCGAATAGAAAAGTGTTCACTTTTCAGTGATGTAGCGAACGCGGCAAAAGAGGTTTGCGGTGTGTTTTTAGTGCTTCGCGTCCAAATGTTGACTTATATATGGCGTTTGGAATATTTCAATTAAGTTTAGTGTTTACAATAGGATTATACATAGCCCTTGCATCAGGTGAGTCAAAATAACAAACTTTACAAAACAAGCTCAGCTTTGTATATGAAACCAATCACCAACATGGCGGAGTTGTTGACTTCTTCAAGATTTCGCACGAATTTCCGCATTTAATTGATAACATTTCATTTCTAATATTTTGATTTGAATTCTCACAATCGACCGTTACCGTGTTTTTCATATTATAGACATTTGCGATTTGTCTGTAATGCTGTCACTTCAAAAACATACGCAAACACGCGGAATTTATTATTAATGATTTATTATACCTTATACCTACTATTTTTTTTACTTTTAGTAAAGATACCTAACACGTTTCCGGTAACGGTAAGATTGTAAATTCACGCAGATCCACGTATGTGAAGTTGCATTCAATTTTGTATTAACACTTGTTTATATTTTGGATCACTTTAATTTGCATAATATTTACCTACATTTTTTTCGTCTCTGTTCAGGTACCTACTTAGGTATTGTGTTTAAGTACCTATTAACCTATCAGCTTAATTTGTTTTTCAATTGTTACCTCGGTCCTCGATTATTACTTTTAGTACTTTCGATTTTGACAAACGTTGAAGTTCTGTCATTTACGTACTGATTTACGTACTGTGTTAATTAAATGTCTCGATTAAAAGGTTGTTGTTTGGAGATTTTGATTATGATGAATTACTTCCGTTCCGTTCAAGAACTTTTAATGTTCAAGTAGTTTTGACAGTTCTAGGTACGATTGCTCCAATTTCTATTGCTAACAGTAAGAGTCTTTGTTACAATTTTCGAATTTCAATTTGCAATTTTCACTCATCTGTTTTGATCGAGGTTTTGATAGACTGATTCCGAGCATTCACACAACATTCCTAAAGCAACCGTTATTTATTGGTCGATCATCAATGTTAACACCGTGGGAGAAGCCTGTGGATAGGTTTTTCTGCTGGTGGACATCCATCAAACTGAGGTTACAGAAAAATGTGCAATTACGGTAAATCTTTCTCAAAAACACGACTCGCATGTGTATTTTGGAGACGAGTTTATACGTTTTATAGTGCACCAGTGAGTGTGGGCCGCACACGTAGTCCATATAAGGAGGGATGAGAGATGAAAGTTCACATAATTGAGATCATCATACAGGGTGACAATTTGAAAACTTACCACCCCCCATATCTTAGTAAATAAACGAGATATTTAAAAAAATCAAAATCCGTTTCGGTAATTCGGAGGGGGAATCACAATGACATAGTTGGCGACGCACCCTCTCCAACCCCCTGCGCCCCAGCCACCACAACTTTTAAATCTTAAATAGTGACCCCCCCATGTGTGATACGTCGTTGGAAAGCTCTGAAAAAATGCTTTCCAACCATACCAAATAGCATTACATTTAGGCTAGTAATTATCGTGCAAATCAAAAAATAAACTAATATGATACATTTGAAATCTGTCGTATTTAAAACGCAACCGGCGAACATAGACGAATTAAGACAGAGAATCATTCAAGAATGACGAAATATTGTAACATTTAAAAAGGTTCGACAAAAGTTTAAGAATAGACTGAATAGATTATAACTGGCGGTCAAAAATGAGTTGCTGTCGAGTCGGCTTTGGAAGTCCAAGTTAAATACGATTTTCCATGTAAACAAAAATTTCAAAGGGCGACTCGACAGCAACTCATTTTTGATCGCATAGTAATACGGTCTTACCAATAACGGAAACCATTTTGAACATTTAATGAAATAAAAGCCAACTTTAGAAAATGTATCATATTAGTTTATTTTTTGATTTGCACGATAATTACTAACCAAAATGTAATGCTATTTGGTATGGTTGGAAAGCATTTTTTCAGAGCTTTCCAACGACGTATCACACATGGGGGGTCACTATTTAAGATTTAAAAGTTGGGGTGGCTGGGGCGCAAGGGGTGTGAGGGAGGGCGTCGCCAACTATGTCATTGTGATTCCCCCTCCGAATTACCGAAACGAATTTTGAGTTTTTTAAATATCTCGTTTATTTACTAAGATATGGGGGGTGGTAAGTTTTCAAATTGTCACCCTGTATGATATTTATGTGACATAGGTATCGCTTTAGCATTCACGGGAGCTTTAATGGATGAAAGTATCCTATATAGGCATTATGAATTGCCACTGTATTTCATATTTCATCTGTTATTAAAACACCTCGTAAACACTAGTAGTGTGGTAAATATGAAACGAAAAGACCTGAATTAGGAATCAAGTACCTAGGTATTACTGGAGTTTTGTGTGAGGGTGAGGGTGTGTGTGTGTGTTATTAATATTAGTATGGTCGGTGTTTCTTGTGAGAACTCAGGTCTAGCCTGGTTAACACATCGCACGGATTAAAATCAAGTAACGATTAGTTTGTAGCTCACTGATCTCGAAAAAGAGTCGCACGGGAAAGTTATAGTTTGTACAAACCAATTTTTTTCGATGAGACCTTTCATTAGAATACCATGAAGGGTAGAACATGTGTGACCCCCCTCATTTTGGCACCACTAAAGGCATGCGCATGCAAAATCTTAAACCAATTGGTTGTCGTATGTAACAGTTATGCAGGTTTTACGAGAGGTTTTGCTTTCAAAAACAGCATCTCAGGAAATAAATCGTGAGAGGGGGGGGGGGCTTTTAGACAGCGAAATTTGATGGTCGTCTGGCACACCTTCAAGGTCGAGTTCAAGGTATAGGCTACCTACTGCAAAAAATTCCAGGACTCTTAAGACCATTCCCCTAGAAGTAATTCAAAACGGTAGAAGTGGGTCCGGAAAGACGGACGGACAAAACGCAAACAATGGCACATTTTTTTTTAATTCTTGAAAAAAATGCGCTAAAAAAAACCTCAGGTTCCCTTTGGGTTCGCACAAATAGAGAAACAAACTAAACACTAACGTGGGGAAATTTGTTTCTTTTAGGGCACGTATGGTACCTTTCATTTCACGATTCTCTTTTCTTACATTTTAACTCGCATTTTAATAATCTCTGAGACCCTCGTGGTTACCTGAAGAATCAAAGCTGGGCATGCGACCCGGCCCACTTCTCCTTTTTTCGTATATGTGGATGATGTTTATTCTCTGAAGTTACTTAGATTTCATTTTAGACATCCTACTTCCTCGCACTTAACGATAGATGCTTCCTGGATATATCTATCTACTATCATTCTGCTTATTTCCGTAAAAAATAAAAGTTAATGACTTGCCAGGTGTGAATTGACGGCTGTTATACGGTTACTCAGCTATTATAAACATGATTCCTATTTAATGAAAAATTGCAGTTTGAGCATTACGGAAACTCTTACTTAATCTATATTACTACCTTGCTTACCCTGGTACTGGGTAAGTATATAAGCCTCGATATAAGCAGACTGTGGGAAAACTATTCAATTAGGAGTTTGGATTTTAAGTTTTATCCGAGCTTTTATCTTTAGTTGTTGTTGTTGCTTTTAATGTGGATATCTCGGTGGATATTTTTGTCATAAATTACCCATTAGTAAATTATTAACACTTGTAGTGGTGTTTTTTTGTTACAGTTTCTCAAATTCACAAAAAGCACTAAGTATAGTTGCGTCAATGTAGGTTTTTCTCCGGAAGTCCTCGGAAACGACTCCTCTTTTCATGATTGCTTTTTTCAATCTTTGTTTTTTTACTTTCCCAACGCGAGCTAGGTGTCTATTGCTATTACCGGTTTTTGGGCAGGATAAAATTTCATCAAATGTCGACGTTTTAGACCATTTTAAGCAACTTTTAAAGAATAAATTTTTTTTCCGTTTGTATGTATGTGCGTACGTTGGCAATTTTCCGAGGTAACGGCTCGACGGATTTTGTTCAAATTGTGAATATGTCTCGGGATATGTATTTTAGGTATACTGAAAGGAAAAATAACGAGCCGGATTTTTGGAAAAAAATTTTGGAGCGCCACAACAGCATCGAACTTTTTTTTCAAATAGCGACCTAAAATTTTTCTTAAGTTATTCGAACGACTTTATTTTTCTGTGTACAACCTACAAAAATTGTGCCAGGTTGTTACAAAATAAATTACAAAAAAAAACAGAAAAAAAATGACCAAAGTTAAAAAACTAAAAAAATTTTCGCCATAACGGTTACTACGAGGGTTACTATGATTTCGTCAAAATTTTGCGAATTTACATTAGGCATTATAAATCATGCAAAACTGTCAAACACTTTTTTAATATCTTAAGTTTTTTTGGCCGTGGTGTCATACAACTTTTTTTTTCAAATAACAAGGCAATATTTTTATTAAATTATTCGAAAGACTTACTTTTTTGTGTAAAACAAAATTATGCTACGTTTTATTATAAAAAAAGTGGAGAAAAACATTAAAAAACTATCTAGCAGCGTTTATTAAGCGGCAGAGCTAAGTGATGCAAGCTTTATAGGGGAGTCGATGGTGTCCGTCTATCCGTCCGTGAACACGATAGCTGTCAAACGCTTTAACCGAGGCTTTAACCGATTCGGTTCAAACTTTGCACAGTTTAACCTATATGCTACATCTCGTGCTACATGTAATAAGCCTATTGAAGATGGGCCAAATCCAATCCGTAGGGTCACACCGAGGTGCTTTGTCCCTTTTTAAGATCCGCTTTAGGGGTTTATTATTTAGGATGAGCGATTGCAGAAGTTCGGTCGTTGCATTCTTTTTTTGAGTTTAATGCAAAAATTCCAAAAAGCCATAGATAAAATAAAATATCAATACCTACATATGTTAAAATATCACAGATTTAAATACAGTAGGTACTAAAATCTGTGTTAATATTAATACGGTAAAGAAAACTGACCCATCTGTAACATCTGCACCAGGGCGCCGACAAAAAAGGCCACTTAATTCGATTTTTGGATAATTTGTCCAATAAGAAGGATTTTAAACAATTTTATCTACGACTAATATATAATGTGAGTATTATACTTATGGTTTGTTCAAAACTCCAATCCGCTACCTACAGGGAAATCGTCTATAATTTTCTCGATAATTTTATCGTTGAGTGAC